CAATGCATAACAGTTAGTAACAATGCAGTTCTCATAAATTGATTATTGAATCCACGCTTTTAAATTGATGTATGAGCATCGTTATGGTGCGGATAGGTTGTTTGAACACTTAATGACATTATATATTAGTTACTGTCTAAAGTTTGTTGACTTAATTAGGGAAAAAGTGTTTTTGTTTTTGTTTTTGTTTTTGTTTTTTTTTTCAATTTCGAGGGCAGTTATATGAAGAACTAAGTTGGTCAAAGTATCTGGAATTTTTGCCATTTTGTATAGAGAAAATGTGCTTTGCTGGTTTAAATTTGTCACCAATGCCTTTGTATTATTCTACTTTTCCGTTCCCCGTTTTATTTTTCTATACTCATTGAATAGCTGCTGCTGAGAGTTGTGATTTGATTTGGACGGGCAGATTTTTTATGGGTTAGATCTTATCTGCTGTGGGAGAAATTTTGTGGCGGCTTTCAATTCCAACATTGTTGAGAGGAATGGTGCCTCTATAGCATAACTTTAGAGATGGTCGGGAATGGATCTATAGGATGGTTAACAAGAGCATTTGCCTTGTCCCTACCTGAGTTGGCTAAAAAATTTCCTGCCTTCACTAATACATATTTCTTTATTTTTTCACGCTTCTGTTGTGTGTGTTTTACAATTTTGTACAGTTACAATTATACAAACAATACATATTAGTGTTATTTTATTTTATTTAATTTTTTTGGTGGGCATGGTTTCAAATTATCACGCAGCACTCTTTTCCTCTTTATTTATTTATTTCTTCAAAATTTAATAGGACACAGTAGTATGTAGATGATTGTGCCACGTCATACTCCATGTGGCACTATTTATTACTGAAAATACACTTGGTCAGTGCTGATTGGACCATGTCAGGACCTGTCTGGCATTTCTCTGGAAAATCGTCTTTTGCTCGAGCTCCCTCCTCGCAGCCTTGAGCTGCTTCCTCGCGACCTCAAGCAGGGGGGCTAAATGTAGATGATTGTGCCACGTCATACTCCACGTCGCACTATTGACTACTGAAAATACACTTGGTTAGTGTTGGACCTGCCTGGCATTTCTCTAGAAAATCGGCAATCTCGAGCTACTAGATCTGAAATCGCAATGCTGAACTCGCAAGAGGAAGGGGTCGCCACCCTTACCTCTCCTACAGAGGTACTCCGCTCTAGTCGGATGGGTCTCGCCATCTTCTCTAAAGCTTTCCTCTGCAGAGGAAGCTTCAAACTTAAATGTTCATCTCGAGCTCCCCCTGCATAGGAGCTCGAGGCTTAAAGGAAGTGCGGAAGCTCGGGACCAAAGAAGGCAAGTCCCAAGCAATTTTCCTATCTCCTCCTATTTCACAGGAATCTGAGAATCAGTGGTTAGGTGGCTGAGTTCCAAGGATTCACCTCACCTTGAGGTCTACCAGGGCCGGCCTAGGGCCTCCAAATTTGGGGGGCCTCAAATTTTGGCCCAACCTATATACTTATACTAGGCCTCAAAATTTGGCCCAAAAAAAAGTTGATCCTACATAAAAAATACTGATATAGAAATAAAAAATGTTGGGCCCATAATAGAGAATAAAACTTTGGGTTTATGGGCCCAATTTTGTTCAGTATGGCTGTCTTTTAGCCACTGATTTTCTTTACCCATTTTTATGTTTTTCGAATCAAGAAAAAAAATGAAAAAACGATCTGTGTTCTAGGGCTCTTGTCGGTTGTCTCTCCTCGAAGTTGAAGGATAAGATTTGGGTTTGTGTTTGGGAGTTTAGCTTCAGTTTCACCAGGAGCAGCGCCAAAAAGATTACAAGTAAGTAACTCATCCAATTTATGGTACTGGGTTCCTTTTTGGCTTTTTCCAATCTGAAATTAATCTTTTTTTTTTTTTTTTGATGGAATCGTTTATCTCCTTTTGATCAATTTGAATCTAATTTCATTGGTCTGGTTGATTATAGAATTTTGAAATTTTATGGGACGCTTGAAATAGGAGATTTACCCCTTTACCTTAGAGGCTTAGAACAAAAATGGCTGGATAAATTGGATAATCAAGAATTCAATCTTCCGTACAGACTAAAACGTCCATTATTTTTCTGATTATGAAGATCTCAGCCTTGCTAGGATTGCTATTTATATAATTATATGTCCAAGTGTAAATGGTTGTGTTCCAAGTATATAGATATTATAAATAGTATGATTTTTACTGATGAACAATAAGGAAAATTACAAAGTTTTTTTTTTTTTTTAATATTTGCGATCAATTATTGCTTGTGATAAAAAAAATAAAAACTAAAAAATTAAAGAGAATCAAAATGGAGAATTAGACTAAAACCTCCATTCTGTTTTCTGATTAATTAGGTTAAGGAAAATATGAGAAGAAATGAAGAATCAAGCATTGTTGATTTTTGTCAAACAATTATGAACCACTTTTTTTGCTTTGCATTGAGGTAATATCTATATTTTATTTCAGCAACCTGAATCAATTCATTGCATTGCATTGAGGTAATCTATATTTTATTTCAGGAAAACAAATATCTTTTTATTTCTATAACTTCTATTTCTTTCTTTCTTTTTTTTTTTCTTTTTTTTTTTTTTTTTTTTTGTCAATTATGTCTACAAGAAAATTTGAATCTGGGCATGAAAAAAGGTGAAAAAAAAACAAAGAAGAGAGAAGAAGAGTTGATTCAATTTCAAAAAGGTGTTATTCATAAGTTTTTTTTAGGAACAATACACAAATAGAGAGTTTAGTTGAAGATTTGGTGAATGGAGAACATAGGAATGAAGAAAATCTTAATGAACATGCACAGTGACGGAGCCAGAATTTTTTTTCGGGGGGCACATTATAAGTATTGTATATCGTAACATATATTTACAATATAATGTATATGCATATAAGTGTGTATATATATATATATATATATAGAAAGAGATAGTGATATTTTCGGAATTAAATTAATTTACAGATATAGAATATAAGTATTAAGGAAACAATTTAGGAGAAAAAAATATGAAATATATATATAGAATTTTAAGAAGAATGAGAAAATTCAGGGGGGACACTTTTCATATTTTCATTAAAAAACATATATATTATTAGAAAATATATATAGAATATAAGAGAAACTGCCTCCGTCCCTGAACATGGAGATTTAATGAATGGAGATAGGAATGAGAATCAAAATGAAGAAAATGTGAATGAACTTGAAGGTTTGGTAATGAAGAACATGTGAATGAGAATGATAATCTTCCCTTGAACATTAATGATCCAGCAAATTGGAGAAAGATTGATAAAAAATTGAGAGGTTTATTAGTTGAAAGAGGTCCTCCAAGAGATGCTAAACTTGAAGCTTTTCAAAGTTGAAGTTAATCAAATCTTACTCGCGGTCTACGATGACACAAGAGAGATTGAATGGATTGTCTATCTTATCTATTGAAAAAGATATATTGGAGAAACTTGATTGGAGTGCTTTAATTGATAATTTTGCAACTCAAAATGCAAGATGATCACATTTACTTCAATGAAAATTTCGCACTTTTATAATTTTTTTTTTGCGCGTGTGAAACATTATATAGAAAGGGCGTCACATTTAAAGTTCGCCTAGGGCCTCTCAAGATTTTTGCAATCTCAGGGCTGACCCTGAGGTCTACACAAGGGGTAGAGAATGTTTAATACCTAATAGCTGAGCTCAAGTAGTAGAGACCACATAATACATTAAATATATGTTGATTGACGGATAAGACTTGCATTTAATACAGGCCATCGCCACCACCTCAAAAAGGGGCGGTGGCATGCCTCGGGCTGCCTACTAGATGACCAACCTGTTAGATATTAGGTAGAATTACCATTGGATAAAGAAGGAGCTACCTTTGTAACCAAGGGTCCTTACCTAAGTAAAGTGACCATCAGATAAAGAGGGAGTTAGCTCTCATAACCAATGGTCCTTACCCAAATGAAAGTAGTATAAATAGGACTAAACTCTCATCATTTAGGGAGGTTGGAATATATATACACCACCACAACCATAACCATAAAGAATGGTCTTCTAAGACTCGAGCTACCATAGGGTGTTAAACAAATCTGCCTTCTCTCTCTCAATCTCCTCTATGGAGAATCCCTTGTGCTAGCTTGGAGCTCCACTCAGCATTTGATCTCAGCATTCCCGACAGATGTGGAACGATCTCCTCAATTTATCAAGAACTGGTATCAACACAATATAAACACATTATCTGTTAAATTTTCTTATACATTGTAGAAAACCAAGTAGAAGCAGATAGCATTCCTAAAATTTCTTACATTTAATTAGAGATTACATAATGAGTAGGAATGTCAAAAGCACCCGCCCCGCCCCGCCCCTAATAGGATTGGCTTGGGGTGTTGAAAATAGTTTAGGGGTGGGTTTGGGTGATTATAATAGAATGCGTCTCGGTTTAGGGTCGGGGACGGGTTTAGGAGCAGTCTGGCCGTCCCATTATATATGCAAATAGGACACTACCCTGATATTCTCTTGCTATTCGTAAAAATCCTTTCATAATTATATACTACATATATATCCCTTGAATACAGAGTAAATGCTAGGGCGTTCCCTTTAGCATAGCGTTGCATCATAGGAACATAAGGTTCATGTAGCCGTCCCCAAGTAGTTTGGAAGAATGCTTGGTTGTTGTATTTATATGCATATATATAATATATTGTACAGGGTTTTCACTTATCTCTAATTACTATGTTAAGGTTACCTGGGATGAAGTTAGCACCTACCCTGGAAACAAAATTAAAAGGTTTATATATCTATATGCTGTAATTTAGGAGGGCGTGAAGGTTTGTAAAGAAATGAACTTAAGATTGTATTATTTTTCTTTTCTTCTTGTTGATTGATTTTGGCCCCTGCAGTGTGCAAAACAAAGCTTACTGTGCTGGAAATTTCAGATTTCTGATTGAAATCAGATTTCAGCAAGTTTTGGTCTTGATCAAGCGTGTTCGGTCTACCTCTATGGTTGTAGCCGTCCAACTCTTAGGTAGGCTACCTCATCCCTCTTCGTCTTATAGCACCTTTTCATTCAATTAGCTTCTTGAAATGGAAATGTATATATTTTTCAGAGTTGCAAACCTCCACCTGAAAAAATAAATTTTCAATGATACTTTTCTTATCCAAAAAAGAGCGGAATGGAAACATAGGATTAATGTAGCCGACCCCAAGTAGTTGGGAAAAAGGCTTGATTGTTGTTGTTGTACTTTACTTATCCATAAAAAATAACTCATCTTCATCATCATTGGTGCTCAGATGCTGTTTTTTCTTCTTATGTTTTATTTCTCAAGGACTGTACAGCTGGTTTGTTGTCCAATAACTGCTAAAAGTTTGCTTCTTTTGTGACTAGTTGCTGGACTAATAGCTTAATTGATGTAATTTATTTGTGTGTCGGTATGTTGAGGACAGACACGATTGATATGTATTAGACTCTTTCATGCTCTTAATTCACTTTTTTGGCTTTTAAATATTTTATTATTATTATTTATTATAAACTATTAAGTGAAAATGGAGATGATGGTCAAAAAGTAAAAGGTCTGAGCAGGAATTGGTGTTGGTAGTAATGAGATGAAGGTGGGGAGAAAGGAAGAGGGCCCTAGTCTTTGTTCAAGTTATGACATTGTCACTGTCGCAACCTCTTCTACAGCAAGTATACCATGCTTAGGCTTGGTGATGGGTTGGAATAAAAGGCGTGGGTTGCATTCTAGTATTGAATGCTAACTTAGACTTCTCCCAACATTATTTTACCCCTAGTTTTGATATATCTCATCTGCCATCATGCTTCCTGCATTGATCAAACCTTCATGCTGATCCATTCACTGTTTTATTTACTATGTCTCACAACCACACTCCCAAGAGAATTGCTTTTGTATAATTTTAAATGACATCTTTTGTTTGACACTTTTATATTTAGAAAAAAATATAGTTTCATGTTATTCTATTCTAGATGAAGGTTTAATAGTGTTTTCATTTTGGAATATCTTTTGAAATCTGTATGTGATAGAAGGATATATAAATGTTAGTAGATGTTTATACAATGGCAGAGTTAGGATGAGAATATGCGTGATTTTGAGGGCTTCAGCATTGTTCCCTTGTTCATTTAATATTATCTTACAATATTGGTTATTATTAGGAATTCTTTCGATAACAAGTAAGATGTTTGATGCTTCCCACGCTCAGATCCAAGGGTTAGTTTATTAGTTATCCCAAGATATCAATCCCTTTTGTTATTTACAGCTAGGATTCATGTTTTAGGGTTGTTGGATAAGGACACTTGGCTCTGGAGCTTGGAGAAGCTTGTTTGATGTGCCCTTTTCTCACCTACCAGCCATTGTTTGTCACTCCTGTAGCTTGCGAGCCACAATCTCAATGTCCTTAGTTTATGAACCAGTGTCATGATTCCAGAAGGTAACAGGTGTTTTGTCCAGCTAATATGTGTTGTTGGAAGAGCAGACTTGGACCTATGACATTATTTCACAAAACAGTTGCCTTAAGGGTCTTGAATCATCTTCCACACATTCTACCATTAAGTTTTTTCCTCTTATGTTTTTATTTCTTAAGGAGTGTACAGCTGGTTTGTTGTCCAATTACTGCTAAAAGTTTGTTTCTTTTATGACTGGACAAATATCCTGGTTGATGTAATTTATTTGTGTGTCGGTATGTTGAGAAGAGACATGATTGTTATGTATTTAGACTATTTCATGCTCCTAATTTGCTTTTTTGGCTTTTAAATATTTTATTATCATTATTTTTTTATAAACCATTAAGTGAAAATGGAGATGATGGTCAAAAAGTAAAAGGTCTGAGCAGGAATTGGTGTTGGTAGTAATGAGATGAAGGTGAGGAGAAAGGAAGAGGGCCCTAGTCCTTGTTCAAGTTATGACATTGTCACTGTCGCAACCTCTTCTACAGCAAGTATACCATGCATAGGCTTGGTGATGGGTTGGAATAAAAGGCGTGGGTTGCATAGTATTGAATGCTAACCTAGACTTCTCCCAACATTATTTTTCCCCTAGTTTGGATATATCTCATCTGCCATCTTGCTTCCTGCATTGATCAAACCTTCATGCTGATCCATTCACTGTTTTATTTACTATGTCTCATAGACACACGCCCAAGAGAATTGCTTTTGTATAATTTAAAATGATATCTTTTGTTTGACACTTTTATATTTAGAAAAAAAATTGTAGTTCACTAGGTTATAGTTTCATGTTATTCTATTCTAGATGAAGGTTTAATTGTGTTTTCATTATGGAATATCTTTTCAAATTTGTATGTGATAGAAGGATATATAAGTGTTATTAGATGTTTATACAATGGCAGAGTTGGATGAGAATATGCATGATGTTGAGGGCTTCAGCATTGTTCCCTTGTTCATTTAATATTATCTTACAATGTTCGTTATTATGGGGAATTTCTTTAGATAACAAGTAAGATGTTTGATGCTTCCCACGCTCAAATCCAAGGGTTAGTTTATTAGTTATCCCAAGATATGAATCCCTGTCGTGATTTACAGCTAGGATTCATGTTTTAGGGTTGTTGGATAAGAGCATCTCTAATGCTAAAATGCCAAATTCGGATGCCAAATCTATATTTTGACAGTGTTACAGTGTCAAAATGCTACATTTTAGCAATTCTGCTCTAATGATGAAAATGCTATTTTTTAACACAACCACTATTCTTTTTCAACTACCATTCCCACCATTCATATTTGCATCAGTAATGTTAATATTAGACACATTCCAAGTCAAGTTGTAGATTAGAAGGAAACTAAAATTAAACTTAATTAAAAAGAATCAAAAATCTAAAATATCTGGTCAAAAAAGGACCCAAAAATATATATATATATATATGTATAAATTTATATATTTGATTATATTATTATATAATTTTTTTTTATATAATTCTTTTTTCTTTTTAGGAAATTTATATATATTATATATATTTTATTATATTATTATTAAAAATATATATATATTCAGGGCAAATCATTTCAGCCTCCCAAATAGCCATATATATTTTTAGGGCAAATCATTTCAGCCTCCCCAATCGCCTCCATCTCTATTCTCGTTCTCAGCTCTGAAATTGCCTCCTCTCGCTGTTTCAGTTCAGCTTCACCGTTCGCAAGCTTTAGTTGTTGGCTCTCAACTCTCAAGCTTGCCCCCCTCTCTCTCTCTGCAACTGCTAACTTGTATGTATGGATTTTGATTTATTTATTTTTTCTAAATCAACTAATCAAGCTCTGTAATTCTCTGTAATTTTTTTCTAAATCAACTAATCCATGGCAAGGGCGACCTCTGCTCTCTTCCTTCTTGACATCAAAGGCCGAGAAACTCTTCACCAAACCCATTGAGAAAGAGGTTCGATTTTTGTCTACTTTTTTTAATCAAAGTCTGTAATTCTTGTTTTGCAAACTAAATCCTATTTGGTGAAATTTTTTATGATCTTTTTAAAAATATACAATATATATATATATATATATATATATATATATATATATATATATATATATGCCAAATCTGAGAACCCCTGCCTCTCTCTCTCTCTCTCTCTCTGAAATAGCAATAGCTATTTCTTATGCTACAATTGGCAAAACTTTTGGCGAAGTTAAAAATTGGCAGCCCTTTTAGCATTGCATTGGAGAGCCCCTTTTGAAGCCCCCTTGCTATATTTTAGAAATGACAGCCCTTTTAGCATTGGATTGGAGATGCTCTAAGGACACTTGGCTCTGGAGCTTGGAGAAGCTTGTTTGATGTGCCCTTTTCTCACCTACCAGCCATTGTTTGTCACTCCTGTAGCTTGTGAGCCACAATCTCAATGTCTTTAGTTTATGAACCAGTGTCATGATTCCAGAAGGTAACAGGTGTTTTGTCCAGCTAATATGGGTTGTTGGAAGAGCAGACTTGGACCTATGACATTATTTCACAAAACAGTTGCCTTAAGGGTCTTGAATCATATTCCACACATTCTACCATTAAGGTTTTTCCTATTATGTTTTTATTTTTTAAGGAGTGTACAGCTGGTTTGTTGTCCAATTACTGCTAAAAGTTTGTTTCTTTTGTGACTGGACAAATAGCTTGGTTGATGTAATTTATTTGTGTCAGTATGTTGAGGAGAGACACGATTGATATGTATTAGACTATTTCATCCTCTTAATTTACTTTTTTGGCTTTTTATTTTTATAAACTTTTAAGTGAAAATTGAGATGATTGTCAAAAAGTAAAACGTCTGAGCAGGATCTGGTGCTGGTAGTAAGGAGATGAAGGTGGGGAGAAAGGAAGAGGGCCCTAGTCCTTGTTCAAGTTACGACATTGTCACTGTCGCAACCTCTTCTACAGCAAGTATACCATGCTTAGGCTTGGTGATGGGTTGGAATAAAAGGCATGGGTTGCATTCTAGTATTGAATGCTAACTTAGACTTCTCCCAACATTATTTTCCCCTAGTTTGGATATGTCTCATCTGCCATCATGTTTCCTGCATTGATCAAACCTTCATGCTGATCCGTTCACTGTTTTATTTACCATTTCTCACACACACACTTTTGTTTGACACTTTTATATTTAGAAAAAAATTGTAGTTCACTTGGTCATAATTTCATGTTATTGTATTCTAGATGAAGGTTTAATTGTGTTTTCATTTTGGAATATCTTTTGAATTTGTAAGTGATAGAAGGATATATAAATGTTAGTAGATGTTTATACAATGGCAGAATTGGATGAGAATATGCATGATGTTGAGGGCTTCAGTATTGTTCCCTTGTTCATTTAAATATTATCTTACAATGTTGGTTTGAGTGAGTGTAATGTGGAATTATGAGGAATTTCTTTAGATAACAAGTGAGATGTTTGATGCTTCCCCATGCTCAGATCCAAGGGTTAGTTTTTTAGTTATCCCAAGATATGAATCCCTGTCGTGATTTAGAGCGAGGATTCATGTTTTAGGGCTGCTGGATAAGGACAGTTGCTTCTGGAGCTTGGAGAAGCTTGTTTAATGTGCCCTTTTCTCACCTACCAGCCATTGTTTGCCACTTCTGTAGCTTGCAACCGCAGATTTGGATCTCAATGTCCTTAGTTTATGAATGATTCCTGAAGGTAACAGGTGTTTTGTCCAGCTAATATGGGTTGTTGGAAAGAGCAGACTTGCACACCCTACCTACGACATTATTCCACACATTCTACCGTCAAGTTTAGCTGCCATGACGATTGCTCTTTAATATGATAACAGACAAGAATCCACGTGGTAGAGATGCATGAACTTGATGATGCAAACATGGAGATGGAGATTTGCCATCCAAGCCTTTGGTTGCAACCTTTATGAACGGAGTATGATTGGTAATCTGATTTCACTGTAAATTGGTTTATGATACTTGTTATTTAATAATTAGCACCTGCATTTCCACCAACTCTCTGTGATGTTATACAAAATCATGTAGGTGTTGCTGGCTTTTAACCATTTCAAAGTTTAAACATGCTGTGCTGGTCCCTGAAGCAAATTTTCTCAGCCATTTCTGTGTTAATAGGTATTTCCTGTGTTAATTGCTATTTATCATGAGATGGGTTGGGGAGTCTGAACTGGTATCATAAAAGTTGGTGGTATTGATTATTGAATGTATAGAATTCCAATTTTAAAATTTAATTATTTTAAGGTTTAAACATGTTCCGTGCAGCAATGGCTCTCAGCTATATCTGCATTCATGGTTATTTATGGTTGAGCTAGTTGGCCAGTCCGAACTATTATATATAAGTTGGTGGTATTGAATTTTTGAAATTTCCGCTTTTCTTTTGGTTATTAAAAACTGTTGAGCATAGTGTATCGTCTCCATTTAAGTTATTGATAAATGATTCATAGTTTGATAACTCATAAGCTGCTGATTTACTTACTATGTTGGTAAGGTGAAACTTTGTTTTGGAGTTTCCAGGGATTGATGATGAGGTGATGACACGAAAGCCTACCCCACACCTCCAACAAAGAAAAAACACATACGAAGTTGCAGGAGATTTATGCGAGAAGATGCTGCGGAGTGTTGGTTTCAAATTCTACTTTCATTATTCATTCATCTTATGGAACTTATAGGTCGGTCGTTTTGGATTGTCCGAGGAAAAGGTTGTGAGTTGTGACTGATTGGCGTTTGATTGGCCAATTTGGACCAATCATGCCTAGGGCTTTAGATACACTTTTGGCCAATGGAACAGCAGGGGAAGTAAGTAAGCGGCACTTGGAAAGCACTTGGAAAGACACTAAATAGCAGCAATAAGTTTGACAAAATGCCTAAAAGAACATGTATTTTATTGTCTAAAGCTATGTGCTTTTTAGCCACGAACAATCTCATACCGCCCCACTCATACCGTTTAAGTGGTTAAGAAGGTCGTGGAAATTCATGTCATTAGTCTCCACTAGTTGATTTATTTCTTATGCCTTATTATGCGTATTTAGGCAAGCACTTTCGTAAGGAACGAGTAAAAATGAGGTTATTAAATATGTCTTTAAAATGTTGAATATGGTACATGAAACGACATGGAATAAAAAATTTGAAAGAGAAATGATGGTTGGTGGTGATTAGGTTGGTTTCAATCCTCCTCTCGGACCTCTCCCATGGCTGATCCGTATGTACCCCGCCCGCCCGCCCGCCCGCCCGCACGTAGTGCCTTGGAAAAAACATAAAATTTAGTGAAAAATATAAAAATTGTGGATAAGAACGGAAGGGAAGGATACATGGAGGTAAATAAAAACCATAAATATATTGATAAGTAATCTAGTATAATGCAAATTAATAGTATGGATACGAATTCCACTATCAACTATATGTTTGGGATACCCAAAATGGGATGGGTTAATGGAACACATATGCTTATGTTTACTTAATTATAATCATCTTTCCACTTTGGTTTAAATTCATACCTTGTGTATATGATACAGTAACGTATGAAGATTATTGTATTAGGAGAGGAGTCGAATTTCATAAAGAAATCTTGTTGGTTCATATTGGACGTGAGAACGTGACACAGAGCCGGACATTAATGACAAATTGTTGGTGAGAAAAATATGAACTACGAATTGGGCTACTTAATGCTAATAACGAGAACACAAAGATTGGAAGTTTAAAAGGTGGTGTTTTATATTTACACACACACACACGTATATATATATTTTGGTGTTCAACTGCTTCCTAAGTGAGCAGGAACAATATACTCTCACTTTTAATCCTAATCTTAAGATCTAATCCTGCTATTAATAAAAGAATAATTATTTTAAGAAACTAAGCATTCTTTTAATTAACCATTCATTGTGAAATTACTAAAATGGATAGTTTATTAAAGGACAAAAAAAGAAGAAGTCAATTTCTTCCTTTCAATTGTCAGTGCCGCCTCAATTCGCCGGCATCACCACCTACATCATCACTGCCGCCACCTCCGCCACCGCATCACTTCCACCACCGCCTACACTGTCACTGCCGCCACACCACCGCCGGCGCCGGCACCACCACCTACACCGTCACTGCCACCACCGCCGCACCACCTCCACCACCACCTACACCGTCACTGCCACCTCCTCCACCAACGGCGGTGGCAATAAAACAATGATGCGGTGCTGAAAGATTGGGTGGTGGGCATAATACTCTCACATCACATAAACCTTGTTTGTTTTGATTGTGATGAACAATCAGATGAGGTGCTGAAAATTTGGGTGGTGGGCATCATACTCTATCCATCCATCAAGACAAACATCATTTTCATGGGACATAAATGGTGGTGCCGTGGTGGGTTATCTACCCATTCACTCCTGAAATAGCGAACATTTTGAATCTCAAAATTGCTCACAATCAAATTTTCAGCGCCCACCACCCAATTCACTCCTGAAATAGTGAACATTTTGAATCTAAAAATTGCTCACTATAAACTTGACAATTATAAGATGTGAAGGTTTATATATGTATTGCGTGTCCATGGTTGTTAAAATGATTTATATGCCTGTTTTATTTACCTCCAATTAATTGGATGAATGGATGGATTCAATTACTATTTCAGGAGTGAATGGGTGTCATACTCTCTCTATCCATCAAGACAAACATCATTTTCATGAGACATAAATGGTGGTGCCGTGGTGGGTTATCTACCCATTCACTCCTGAAATAGTGAACATTTTGAATCTCAAAATTGCTCACTATAAACTTGACAATTATAATAAGCTGTGAAAGTTTATATATGTATTGCGTGTCCATGGTTGTTAAAATGATTTATGTGCCTGTTTTATTTATCTCCAACGGTGTTTGATTAATTGGACGGATGGATGGATGGATTCAATTACTATTTCAGGAGTGAATGGGTATCCCGTATCACTCTCTCTCCATCCATCAAGACAAACATCATTTTTTATAAGGAGTACCATCCAAAACTCATATATTTTAATTCTAATTTTAATTTTAATTTTAATTTTTTTTTAATCTTTATAACACCCTTTTCAATACCATACATAAATATTATGTAATACAAAGTCTATATATTTTAAATTTTCATATTATTTATTTCATTGAGTGAATGTGGTTGTTTTATTAATATTTTTGTATTATAAATATAAAACTGTTATTAGTATCAGATATTAAGGGTAAAAATGTAATATATACAATTATCAGACTTTAACTTTTGTATATAACAAACAATCTTTAATGAATTCATCATTTAAAATTAAAATATTATCAAATAAGTTTTCAAATTAATACATTTAGCGTTTATTTGAAATTTTCAGTGCTTAATTTTCAATTTTATCAAATAGCCCCTAGTTACAATTTCCCATTGTGCTTTGACATATCATCACATTATAGAAGAGTGAATACAATTAAAGTGGCGCATATTTTGATATATAACCCGAAAATTGGTATTTATATATACATATACATTTTTACTTGTTATATATACATAATATACATGCACCAAAATTTTCTGCTTCGAGTCATGATACTCTCTAAACAAAGTTAGGGTACATATATGGTTGTCCCTTAAAATGCTAACGAGCTTCAGATGTAACGTCTCACACAAGGGTAATACTTAGCAAAGAATCAGTTTATATCCAAAATGAATGTACAATCCATCTTAAATACCAATTTAAATGCTATCCTATGTAATGAATGATACAAAGTGCACAAGTATTAATTATCTCAATTAATAAAAAAATTCTCAACTAAAACCGATTGGGTGGCATACAAAAATATCAATATATTCCATGGTTCAGGTAGAACCGATGCACATATATAAATAATCAATTTGGCAGAATTTGAAAATCAAATTTGATTGGATTTGACAGTTAACTTCATTAATATAATAGGTATATATTTATGTCATATATGCAGCCTTGTGGGATAAAATATTAACATGCATGTCCATATGAATAATGCATCTTTGCTATTTGTCAAGAAAAAATTAAAATTGATTCCATCTCCTCACTATAAAATGTTAATTACATGCCGTAAGAATAATAGTTTAATCCCATAAGTTAGGTCGCAACTATTTCTGTTTTGGGTTTTTATAAAAATAAAGGTTTTTTTTTCTAATTATGTTCAATAGTAATTGAAAGCATGTTTAGTAATGAAAAATTTGCAACAAAATGTTTATTTATTTATTTACTTTTAATACTTTTAGTCACTACACTATTTTTTAGGTACTGTTGGTTAATTCGTTATTTTCAATTTGAATCTCTTTTCAAAAATAAATATGATATTATTTAAACTTCAACAAAAGTAACTAACTCTGTTTAGGCATTTTGAATGGAAAGACAAACACGATCTTAGTAATTGTACTACCTCCCTATTTTAGATGTCGAGTTCGAAATTTGTGACAACGGAATAAGATTTAATCACATTTAACAAGTGGTCCCCAGTAGGTGCAGTTGCAGCAGGAAGAGCCTCATCCCTATTCAGTTTTTCACACAATATTACAAATGTACATTGTATGTAAAAATGAATGAATATATATTATTATATAATAAATATCCTGGAAATGATAATTACCCGTTGAAGGCAGAAGCTGCCATAAAACGCCATATATCTCTGACTGCTAAATCTCCGCCCTTCCTTCCTTATCATACCCACCTCCCTCTATATCTCTCCCTCTTTCTTCTCTCTCTCCCTCCCACCTCTTCTCTCTACTCTACTGGATGAGACCTGTAACTTCTTAACCCTCCTCTTCCATGCCCAATTTTTTCTCTTCATTGTCCAATCTTATTATTACTTTCTACTATATTCAAACCTTCAACTACAACTTCCACTTATATACATATTAATTTATATATATATATATATTATGTATTGTATCTCTTCACCAACGACGCTGCCTTTTTCCTATATTTAATGCACTGTTAAACACCCTTCTCTATCAACAATCCTAGCTACCATTCATTGTCAAGTGTTGTGTTGTCTGAATCTCTAATTTCCTACTGCTTTCTGGTATTTAATTTTCTCTGCACCTCCAATATTGTTCGAGTACTTAGTTGTCATCTTCTCATTAAATGTTCAAGTACTTTGTTGTCATCATCTTCTAATTTTTTGGGTTAAATGAGCTTGTCTACCATTCTCTTTCACTGGTTATTAATGAATATGCTAAGTCTTCAATTTGTTTAATTTCTCTGCTGGATTAATTGAATATATATTACATGGATTACATTGCTCTAATTCACTTGTTTTACATTCTTATGATTGTAATTCAAAGTTAAGTGTAGATATAATTAACTAAATAAATTTTTTATGGAAATTATCCATTATTACTGATAAATAATTCTCGGAATATTTATCTCCATGGAAGAGAGCTTGAAATTAATTCAACATCAGTGAATCGAGCTAGAGTTGAAAATGGCGCCTAAGAATGGTCGTGGTGGAAAGCCGAAAGGGGAGAAGAAGAAGAAAGAAGAGAAGGGTATTATTGATTTTAATTTTGTTATCAATTACATTTATTATTAATTATAATTATTCTCTTTGAATAATTCAATACCTTATTGTTATTTCAACACCTTAATTCATTTCTATTTCCTACGCTTTGCAGTTCTTCCCGTCGTAATGGATATAACTGTAAACCTTCCGGATGAAACTCATGTTATTTTAAAGGTCTGTTTCTCCTCAATTCATACCAATAATTGTTTCTAACTGTTTACTATTAATTGTAGTATTTGTTTACTAAATTTTGAAGGCCAAATTGTGCTATGTTTTTTATATAATTTTTATCTACGCATCTTGAGCTCCATATTGAATTGAGTTTTGCATAATTCTATATTTTAAGTAATAATTTGTTTTGTTTTTTTTTTTTAAGTTCGACACTTATAATTGTTGGTAGTAAAATGTCACACTCATGCTACGATTAAAGTTGCGTATGCCTAACTAAAATTTAGCGGTGCAACGATAAGATCTGTTCTATAAGCATTGACCGATAAATATTGCGTACGTGTACCTAAAATTTAGTGGTGCAACGGTAAAGTCGGCTCTATATATATTGACAAATTTATTTGTCATGACTTTGGAAAAGACTTTGTTGAGTTGACAAGAACAGTTACATTATTTCGTAATATTTCAAAATAAAATTATTATAATTTGTTAAACAATTTAAAATATCTATTTTTATTTTATTAATTATATGTAATTTCTTAAATGTGGGATTTTGAATTATTGAGCAGGGAATATCAACTGATAGGATTATTGACGTTCGAAGGCTATTATCCGTGAACACAATTACTTGCAATATCACTAATTTTTCTCTATCGCATGAGGTAAATGTTCTAAACTGTGTGTGTTTATATTGAAATTTTTTTTTTTAGAGGGATATATAAATAATAAGTTAAATAATTTTTTTAATAAAAACCCAAATATCTTGTTAAATTTAGGAGTTTCTAAATTATTTGAGAAAAAAAAAAAAATAATACTAATTTTTTACTCTCCATTTTGAACTCTAATATACAGGTAAGAGGGCAGCGACTTAAAGAAACTGTCGACGTCGTTGCACTAAAGCCATGCGTTCTCGAACTGGTAGAAGGTAAAGTAAATACGACGTCGTAAATATGATGCGTAGTACACATGTATGAAATCTCAGTCGTGCCCTCGATCTTTTTCTGTTTTTACTGGAACAGAGGAGTACGATGAGGAGGGCGCAACGGCACACGTGCGGAGGTTGCTTGACATCGTGGCATGCACCACGTGCTTTGGCCCGTCGGCGACCAAGAACGACTCCTCCTTCTCCGGCGCCGGCGGTAAGAATGCGCAGCAGAGCGGCAAGAAGTCGTCCAAATCTCAAGCCAACAACAAGCAATCGTCGTCATCGCCGCCACCGACACCGTCGAAAGATGCGAATTCAGTGGAGAGAGAAGAAGAGATGAGTAATTCGTGCCCTAAGCTCGGAAGCTTTTACGAGTTCTTTTCTCTCTCTCATCTCACGCCTCCTCTCCAATGTAAGTCTCCTCTCTCCATTGTCCGGCGCAAATACTGTCCACGTTATACACTCTGACAGTGATGAGTGAACACGATTTTCAAAACACATCAAGTGTTTTAAATTTTAAATATGCGCACTTGATATTGCAGTCGTAAGGAAGGCAACAAGAGAACATAATGATGAGACTTTAGTGGAAGATCATTTCTTTTCCCTTGAAGTAAGAACTTCCTAAATTAATCCTTTTCTTATGTTCTGCTACAATATTTAGTTTATCAATGTTGCTGACACCAATTTAAGAATGATGATGATGTGGTCTGTTGATGGACAGGTGAAGCTTTGCAATGGAAAGATTATTCTTGTTGAAGCTTGCAGAAAAGGATTCTATTGTGTTGGGAAGCAGCAGATTCTTTGTCACAACCTTGTCGATTTGTTGCGACAAATTAGTAGAGTCTTTGATAATGTTAGTTTTGCAAACTTGCTCAAGTTTGGTTCTTTTTTATTTTAGATTTTCTAATATTGTTCCAGTTCTTGTGATTATGCATAGATAGGATTTATGTACTTGTGATTATGTATAGGTTCATGGTGTCACAACTTGGATAATTAAAATGTTTTGTGTTTTTCAGCTTGTTGGTGTTCAAATATGCTTGAATTGAGCTATAATTGATGCGTGCTTGAAATAAAATAGATCATTGGTTGTGGCATTGATAGAATTCCCTAGCTTATACTCTGCCTCTTTGTTAATTTGAATTGGAAAAAGCAAAATATGGCAAACTTTTGTATGTTATTGAAGTATGACCAAATGCAGCAATCGTGTGCCACATTCATCTTTGGTTATGTTTGCTAGAAGCAGCGCTTGCTTGAAGATCTCAGGTTGTCATGCCTCCTCAAATGATAAGAGTATGTTGGTACTGTGTGTTATTACTTAATCCTAAGGACAGGCGACACTGTAAACTGTTATAACTGGTTGTTGGTCTTGCTGATCGATAACTGCAGCTATTTCAAGATGAAAGTTGGTGATAGTGCTAGAATCTCTGCCAAAAGAGTGTTTTGACTTCTTAGGTTCTCTTGCATATTTGAAGTTGTAGTATCTGAATCTGAAAGAATCTTGACTTGATACGTACGTATATGCTGTATGCATTTGTTGTAATTTATATAAGCACTGACTTTGCAACGTGGTCTCATCCTTCAGAATATAAGATTTTAGTTTTGGATAATTCTTTCTGCTTGGTTAAAAATGTTGTTGAAATCTTGACCATTTCTCATTTCTCTTTTCAGGCTTATGAAAATCTCATGAAAGCATTTTCAGAGCGTAACAAGGTAAAAAATCATTGTCCTAAATGTGCTTTCTGTTTCAATCTTTTTTGTCCTAAAATTTCCATAACATATTCTGTTATCTAAGTTTTTTGGTACTAAGAATTCTTGCATCCTTTAAGGGTTATAACAAATTCCTTGATTTCTTACTGCAGTTTGGAAATATCCCTTACGGCTTCAGAGCCAACACATGGCTCATCCCTCCTGTCACGGCACAGTTACCATCAATTTTCCCTCCTCTTCCCGTAGAGGATGAAATATGGGGAGGAAATGGAGGTGGTCTAGGAAGAGATGGAAAAAGTGATTTGCTACCTTGGGCTAATGAATTTATGTATCTTGCATCTATGCCTTGCAAGACAGCAGAGGAGAGACAAATTCGAGACAGGAAAGCTTTCCTTCTTCACAGCCTATTTGTAGATGTTGCCATCTTCAGAGCCATTTCGGCCATGAGGCATGTAATGAGAAAACTGGAACTAACACAGTCAGCTGTAAGCAATGAAAATATTTATACCGAGAGAATAGGGGACTTGAGCATAAATGTCATGAATGATGCTTCCAATGCTAGCTGTAAAGTAGAGACTAAGATTGATGGATTTCGAGCAACTGGAGTGGATAAAAAGAATTTACCAGAAAGAAACCTACTGAAAGGGATCACTGCTGATGAAAATACTGCTGCCCATGTAAGATAGCATCTGAAAAATATGTCTGATAAATAACGCTATAACGAAGTTTTGGATTGTCTTCTTTCTGAATTAGTACAACTAAAGAGGTTTGCACTAAAATTGTTGAAATAAATTTTAATCTTGATTGCAGGATACTTCAACTCTAGGCGTTGTCATTGTAAGATATTGTGGTTACGTTGCCACTGTGAAAGTAGAGGGGAGAGAGAATAAAGAAGTGAGTCCTCCACTAGAAAGCCTTGAACTTTTTGATCAGCCCGAAGGTGGTGCAAATGCCCTGAATATTAACAGGTTTTTACTGACCTCTACAGCATGTTTAAAGAGTACTATGTATATGGGCACATAACACTTGCTTGTTTATGTAGTTTTCATGTAGCTGGAGATTATGATTTTAGTTGTGAATACTACTCATGTTGAGGAATTCTAATTATCTATCAGGCAGTGTTTTGAATGCCAGTCAATTGCTTGAAGCTTAGGACATTTACAGTATAATAGTATTGGCTCGGGGATGAGATGTTGGCTCAATGTTTTAAGTTCCAAGTTAGAAAAAATTACCTTTTGCTTCAATAATTATGTGTTTAGGAATTTTTTTTCCTTCTTTTCACAATTTGATAATTTAAACACCTCCTAGAGGAAGTTTTGATAAATTGAATCAGTTTTGGTATTTTTCTTCAATTTGAACTAGATTTTGCACTAAAACTGGAGTGGATCACCTTTGTCTCACTTGGGAGAATTCTGAAGCCAAATAGATTCTCTGAATAATCCTTACCATCTACTCATTCTATTATTTTGGATAAATATGTATAACGTGGCAAATGTTCTAAAACATTAGGACATTCTCCTGCATTAGAGATCTTGATAATGTGACCTATTAATTGGTTATCTTGTCGTAGTCATTTACTCTGTCATAAGCACACATTGCTTATAGTTATTTCCCATTTATAGACTGATTTTTTTAATGTGTCACCCTGTCCTCATTAATCCTGATTTCCACAAGAAGTTAGTAGGGCAAGTCTGTGCTCATATAGAGATGGTTTACATATTTTCCATCACTCAATTATTTTTAATACTTAGACTCTCTTTGTACAGTTTGAGATTTCTCCTTCACAAAAGAGCAGCTTCAGAACACAATAAAGCAATACCAAATTCACAAGCTTTGGAATGTGAAGAGCTCAGTTCTTCTCGAGCTTTTGTGGAGAGACTGTTGGAAGAGAGTCTTGCTAAGCTTCAAGAGGAGGAAGTACAAGGCGACACCTTCGTGAGATGGGAACTAGGAGCCTGCTGGATACAACATTTGCAAGATCAGAACAACACAGAAAAAGATAAGAAACTGTCTAATGAGAAAGCTAAAAAAGAGATGAAGGTTGAGGGACTCGGGACATCTCTTAGATCCCTAAAGAACAGCAAGAAGAATTCAGATGGAAGTAGTACGAAACTGCAGTCTGAGAACTCAAAATCCCTTCCAGATGGTGTCAGTGTAGAAGTGGAAAATACTGTGTTGCCTTCTACAGAAGTTCAGCTTGAGAGTAATGGCGATGAAAATGAGGTCACACTAAGGAGGTTGTTATCCGATGCTGCTTTTACTAGGCTAAAAGAGTCAGAAACTGGACTTCACCGCAAGGTAGTATTTTGTAATTACTATTGCAGGTTATAAGATATCTTTTGATTTAGCATGCACTGATTTCCTGCTCCTTGTTGATAGTCTTTGCAAGAGCTAATTGACTTGTCTCAGAAGTATTACAACGAAGTTGCTCTTCCAAAACTGGTAACCACTAAAGTAATTTGATTGATTTTCCAATCATTGGTCTGTAAACATCATTCTTTTCATTGCCTCTAGCATTTCATTGTATGATACAGGTTGCAGATTTTGGTTCTTTGGAACTCTCACCAGTTGATGGACGGACTCTAACTGATTTCATGCATACCAGAGGTCTTCGGATCCGTTCTTTGGGACAAGTTGTAAGTGTCTTACGGTGAAAAGCTTTTAAATCCTTCATAGATGTCTTATACATTTTTATTTACCTAGTCTATATGCCAAAGGGATTCCTTTAGTTCTATCTTCTGATCTTGTTGGATGCATTGCATTCGCATCAAACTTTGACACATGTCCATAGTAATATTCCTTTTTGGTTTCCTAAACATCACCGTGTCAGTGATTTTATACCTATGTAATTTATAGTACATGTCCATAGTAATATTTCTTTTTGGTTTCCTAAACATCACCTTGTCAGTCATTTTATACCTATGTAATTTATAGTGGTCTTGTAAAACCTGTACGTATAAGCACGATTAACTCCCACGATTTTGTCATTATTATTGACTATTAAGGTTCACGCAATCAACAGCACTTACCTTTGCCAGTTTGCCCCACTAATTATTAATTCCTGTTACCTTAAAAACTTGGACACAACAACACTGATCTTAAGTTCAATATTACTTTCTGGTCTTCTATGACACTGTCTTTTGTTTTTCCTCCTTGCATAAAAAGTATTGCAGACATTTCACATAAGTTTATCAGTAGTTTAAGTCTACGTCTGTAATTAAATCATTAGAATTCAATTGTCTTATTGCTTGTTCAATTTTCATCACTTTCAGCCTTCTTTATCCATTGATAGATCAGCTTGTAATGTATCTTATCTTTACACCAATTCTTCTAGAAGATAAATAAATCCTAGATATAGTTGAGAGGAATAAACTTGAAATCAAACTTTTGGACTGTTATAATATGTGAGAATGTTCCACATTGAATGATGTGAGCTATTTCTTTTCTTGACCAGGTTAAGCTTTCTGAGAAGTTATCACACGTGCAGTCTCTTTGTATTCATGAGATGATAGTACGGGCTTTTAAGCACATTCTGCAGGCAGTGATTGCTGCTGTTATTAATACCGAGCAAATGGCTGTGTCAATTGCTGCTGCATTAAACCTTATGCTTGGGGTTTCTGAAAGTGGCCAGTTAAGTAAGTCTTGCAATGTCCATTCCCTTGTGTGGAGATGGCTGGAGGTATTTCTGAAGAAAAGATATGGATGGGATCTAAGTATCTTAAACTACAAAGATGTTAGGAAGTTTGCAATTCTGCGTGGAGTATGCCATAAGGTACTTGGAATTAGTCTTTGAGTTCCAAAATTTTGGGAATGGCCTGCATTTCTACATTATTGGATCAATATATTGTCAGTTTTTTGTTAGTTTGATTGCCATTCTAATAAAAATTATTTTATCAACCTTATTTGGAATTACAACGAATTGTTGGATCTTTTCATCAACCTTATTTAAGATTACAATGAATCAAATTGTGGGACTCACCATGGGCAACTTATGTGAATGTTTGAAGAATAATTAAGCCATGTCAGGAGGATGGCTAATAGTTAAAAAATCATTTATTATGGTTTGAAGTTGGAATCTGCTATTTAACGGGTCAAATCTGACAGTTGCTTTGTTGTTTGGGGTAAATGACCTTTTGCTATCTATTAAAATTTTCAAATGGTGTAGAATTCATGAAAATTTGATGTCTGTGTCCATCCTTCAATCGAATTTTGTTGTCCCCGTAGGTGTCTTTGTTTACATTGATCTTAGTGATTGCTGATCACATGATGTTTCAAGAATAGAGGGAGAACCAATTATTATGAATGGCTCCTTTGTGCATCTATCTAAATGCAATAATTCTTGAGTGAGCTTTTTATTGGGGAAAATTGTAATGCAAATAACATTGGTGTCACAACAGCAAAAAATTGTTGTATTTGTTGAAAAGAAGATTTTTTTGAGTGGTTGTAGGCTTGTAGCTGTTAAAAATTGTGTTTGATGGTGTAACTAATGGAAAACTAGACACTAAAGATCTGCCTTTTTCTGTTTTAGGTGGGTATTGAGCTGGTTCCAAGAGACTTTGACATGGATTCTCCAAACCCTTTCCGGAAAGTAGACATTGTCAGCCTAGTACCAGTGCACAAGGTGATGAAGCAGACTATGTTATTTAGTGCAATTATGACATCATATATTCTATCTTGTCCCAAATATGAATAAAGGGGTCAATATTTTGTAAGTTTTTCCATTATCTGTTTCTTTGCAGCAAGCAGCATGCTCATCTGCAGATGGAAGACAACTTCTGGAATCATCAAAAACAGCTCTAGATAAGGGAAAACTTGAAGATGCAGTTAGTTTTGGGACAAAGGTAATGGATATCCAAACTCACGTTTGTTCTTTTTCATGCATAAAATAGTAATTAGGTGGTTCAAGATATGTTCCTGTCACTTATCATAGTGGTAGAAAGTATGTTATATGGCTTTATTTTGCTGTCTCCAGGCTCTTGCAAAGCTGGTAGCAGTTTGTGGTCCCTACCATCGAATGACGGCAGGAGCTTACAGCCTTCTTGCTGTAGTTTTGTATCACACAGGGGACTTCAATCAGGTTTGTTATCCATTTTTGTTGTGTTGTGAAGACATATTCTCTGAAATAGGACAAACATATCAGTTTCATCTTTTTAAATTATTATTGAATCAATTACAGGCCACTATTTATCAGCAAAAAGCCTTGGATATCAATGAGAGAGAATTAGGACTTGATCATCCAGACACGATGAAGAGTTACGGGGATCTTGCTGTGTTCTACTACAGACTTCAACATACAGAGCTGGCTCTCAAGTATGTTTTGTTTTTTCTTATTGTAATATTTACATGTCTGTCTTTGTAAAAATATTCACGGTTACTCATTTGAAACTCAACACTCTTATCTTTTTATTTATTTTTGTCTTATTTATTATTATTTTTAAAGTGAGACATGACAGAGATTATGCTATCACCTAAAAGATATTGTGACAAGAAGCTTATTTAACCTCTGCTTAAAGCTGCATTTCAGATTTAAAGTCTATTTGGTGAGTTCTTATACTTCATGCTAGCATATTCAAAGAGAGAATGGTTGGTGGAGGAGGATGGGAAAGGAGAGGAGAAAGGACTAAGGAGGGAAAGAAAATGGACTTAGTCACAAGTGGTGAGGGTATCTATACAAATGGCTACATGTTTGGCCTAGAACACATGAAAGGCATTCTTTATGGGAATGTCTTGGTCATCTCTTTCCTATTCTCTTTTGGTTATTTAGAGCCTAGTGTCCATGTTGGTGTGGCCCACTTCTTAACAGCTTAAGCTTTTGCAGCAATTGATAGTCTAACAAGGTATCAAGATTTTGGTTTTGGGAGGTCTTTGGTTCAAGTCTCCAAATATGCATTTGTTCCCCGATTTGGTGTGCAAGATTGCACTTTGTTCTTATTTCAATTTGGTTTATTTGCCTTACTACGTGCAAGATGGGTTGCACACGAGGAAGGATGTTGGAGGTTCATATACATTGTTGGCTTATTCTCTAGTAGCTTAAGCTTTTGGAGCAGATGGTGATTCTAACATTTTGATTATTAAAAACATCTTAAGTTTTCAAATTTTTTTTCTTTGAGAAATAATTTCCAACTGAATCTTGATTTTTCCAGTGCTAATCTCTCTGCTTCCATGTCATGAAGATTATCTATTTCATGCTTCTTGTTTATTTGTTCTGCGGATGAAATTTACTTTTATCATTTTTCAGATATGTAAAGCGTGCATTATATCTTTTACATCTTACGTGTGGACCGTCGCATCCTAACACTGCTGCAACATACATCAATGTGGCAATGATGGAGGAAGGCCTGGGAAATGTGCATGTTGCCCTCAGATATCTCCATAAAGCTCTCAAATGTAATCAAAGGTTGCTGGGCCCAGACCATATCCAGGTTTCTTTCTGATTCAGCTGAGCTCCGTTTATTTACATATTAGTATACCAAATGCGCATTTGATAGCGGGATGTGATAATAAAATAGGGCTATCTTAGAACACGGATTTCCTTGCCCTAATTTGTGAAATGGAATATCTTGTGCCGCATAGGCATAAACTGCAAAATGCGGTCTGATTGGGGTGACACAATTATTAAGTAATAATTTAATTTCAAGTGCAAGAGGGTCTGTTTTTCAACCTATCAAGTGTAATTAATAAGGTATCATCTTTATCACAACACATTGTCTTTATATTAGAAAAAACTTTTTATTCTTTCCCATCAGGAAACTTGTTATATAGAGCAATCATTTAAATGAAACCATAACACCAGGTTTTTCCTACATATGTGGATTTTGTCTAGAGATCTTCAACCAAAAGCTAATCCTTTAGATGATGTCATTCTTCAGAACAGGATGTTGCTTGGTTAATTTTTTTGGCTTCTCCCAGAACATCACATTTTTCATATGGCTAAAATCATTGTACCAAAGTACTTCCTAGAAGGGTGTGTGTCCTGGGCTGATTCATTCCTTGACAGGCTGATGCTATGCAATATGGGAAGTAGAGTATCAAAATTCATTATAACCATAAAGTACAGCCAGAAATTTCACATCACATCTCTCTTTAATTTCCACGGTGCTTCTTCTTATTAAGCTGTTGAAACTTGAAACAAAATTTTGCACATTAGGCATGCATGCAAATTAGATGTGTTGCAATACCTATGAGGACTCTGTGAATTCCAAACTTCTGCAATAATTTTTGTTTACACCTCCGAGACCTCATTCCTTCCCATTTTTACTGTTCTCTAGACAGCCGCAAGTTACCATGCTATAGCAATTGCTCTCTCGTTAATGGAGGCCTACCCTTTGAGTGTTCAACATGAGCAAACAACGTTGCAAATACTTCGAGCAAAGCTGGGCCCAGATGACCTGCGCACTCAGGTACGTCCCTTTTCTACTAGGTGCAATGAAAACTATAATACTAATGATAGCATTTGTTTCCCACCTTGCTACTCTGTATTATAAGTGATCATTGACCATATGTGACCCTTAGCCACATATGATAACCACCTGACGATACTAGCAATCCAATAGCATGGACTTTACGAGGCTTGTTGATTTTGAACAACTTGAATCAATGAGTTTGCATTCCTCATGGTGCTGCAAGCTTTTCAGAGATTCGCACCAACACCCCCACCCCCCCCAAAAGAATGCGTTATATTTTGTTTTAAACTTATTTTATTTAAGTTTTTGTTTTCCCCATATGGTATTGAATTTTGAAAGTGAATGCTGCAGGACGCTGCTGCTTGGCTCGAGTACTTTGAATCTAAGGCTTTTGAGCAGCAGGAAGCTGCCCGAAATGGAACTCGGAAGCCTGATGCATCCATAGCCAGCAAAGGCCATCTAAGGTACATTGGCCAGTTTATTAACGATATGTTCAACTGATAATTGTTTAGGTTTAAGTGTTTAACAAAGTGCAGTTGCCAAGATCACTTATTAAAAGAAATACCAAAAGTGCATTGTTGGATTCACCTCTATTACCTTTTTGGTTTGTCCTGCCATTGGGTTGTACTGGCACTAGTTCTGTTTTTTTTTATTTCTTAGTTGGTACTCACACACACTTGCCTCCATTGAGGCTTGAACCCTTGACCTCCCTTTGGAAAGTAAGGATCTGATACCGCTAGGCCACTAGCCCGTTGGTACTGGCACTAGTTATGTTGATTTTATATTTTCCCCATCAATGTTAAGAAAGTAATATAATACCAGAAAAGTTGGTTAACATAATATCAGGAAGTAACTTAATTCCAAATTATGGTATGGAAATTCAAACATAAAACACAACGGGAAAAAGTTACTGTTGCTTCTATTATAGAAAAATAAAATGGGAACAAAAAGAAAAAAAGGAAAAGGTATTCTTGCTACTCATGTCAATTGACAAGGATTGTGGACATTCCTTTCAATAGCTTCCTGTCTACAGAACTTCAATTAATGAATGAGATTATCTTTATCTAAATGATCATTATAACAGTTGAGATTTGTTTTACTTGGCAGTGTTTCAGATTTGCTCGACTACATTAGTCCAACTCATGATGCCAAAGGGAGGGATGCTATGGGAATGAAGAGGAAAAGCTATCCTCTGAAGGTAAATTAGTTTATTTCCGAATATTTACTGCAATTGTTTAAACCTCAGTAATTCTTATAAGATCTATTTTAGTAAGTTTCTTTTTACTAATGGAATGGCACGAATAGGATTGTCCATTTGACGTTGGCAGTGGACTATGTCCTCAAGTGTTGGCTGCTTATCATATTGTTAGTAGCCTTTTTTCAGTGCCTAGGAGCCCATAAAGAAAGATTGGTGATGTAACTAGGTCTTGGAAGGCCAAAATGAGTTAAACAGCCTCAATTTAGTTCTGCAAGCCAATCTTAAGGTCCATATGTGAGCCTTCCCACAAGCCTCATCTGCGGCTAAACTGATAAGGGTTTACCATGGGCCAAATACCCAGGCGAGTTACATCCTAAAGGGGGGATGAACAGAAGTAGCTTGCGAGCAGCTGAGATTTACAGTGTAGAAGTTCTGCCCACACACACATGCACGGGAGAGTTCCTGTATAAGGAAACTCTCTCCCATAAAGGAGCACTTGTTTCATTCAAAAGTAAGAAAAAGTTGGTCTCTATTTTATCATACTAAAAATAAGAAGAGAAGGTTTTCCTCCATGAAAAGAAGAATATATATATTTTTTCCCCAGACAGAAGGAAGTTTATTATTCATGGCTAAGTTATCAGTTGGCTTAGATCAGAAGAGTGTTCGGTTATTTCCTCTTCTTTTCTTAGTCTTCTTAACAATCTTATCTATAAGAATGGAAAAGCCATGGTTGACCAAAAAGGAATTACAATCCTATAAAATATGGGGTCTCCTACAGAAAAATGTTTTGAATTGTACTTTTACTAATTATGGAAAATAGAGTTTGGAGAAGGAAGACAATGAACTACATTTCACTCTTTGATATGTTTTTTACATATACAATACATTTGTGAAAGAAGATTTGGTTCTTGATGAAAACTTGAAGCTTCCCTCCTTTTCTTTTAAGGAATACTGCTTTAAAATTATAGGAGACAAAGCTCATGTCTTCACTTCTTTTTCTTGACCAATAATTATTTAAAGGTGAAATACATGGCACTTAAAACTCAAGTCTTACGCTTCATGAACCTGATGGTCCAAATTCCTTGCTTACGCCCTGCTCCTCTCAAAGTCAATGATTACAGTTTGAGCTCTTAATGAGATTTTCTTTACATTCTGGTGAATTCCTATCAGATTTAAGTTGTAACAGAAATGATAAATGGAGCATTGAAAGAGCCAGCTTTGTTAATGTAGCAATTTTGGAGATGGACTATTTTGATTTTTTTTCCCCCCGTGTATTCAGTCCAACTAAGAAGGGAGGAACCTTTCTATAGCCTTCATTTTTATCACCGAGCATCTTTTTGCAATTTCTATTTTTCCATGGGCGGACTTTCATCTTCTTTCTGTGTTTTTAATTATGCAAAGCTATTCCAATATTTTGTTTGCAGGTGAAGGGAAAATCTTACCAAAACTTAGGCTCAGAAAGTTCTGAGGAATCTCCAAAAGATACTCTGAAAGAGACTTTAGATGAAGTGAAACAAAGTACTGAATTTGGAGGTGATACAGATGCGAATCACACAACCACCTTTCCACGAGTTGAGTTCACACAGCTGGCAGAGGAAGAAAATACTGAGAAAAAGCCAGCTCAGTCCCAACAGCCTATGCTGGAGGTAACTGCAACGGAAAAGGCAATTGTCGCCAATGATGTCTTATCAGAAACACATGCTGAAGGAGAAGATGGATGGCAGCCGGTTCAAAGACCAAGATCAGCAGGCTCGTTTGGCCGACGACTAAGGCAGCGACGGGCAACTATTGGCAAGGTCTATGGTTATCACAAAAAAGATGCGGTTTATGAAACGGATCATGCTAGACTGAAGAACAACTATCAGAATAGTAGGTATTACCTGGTAAGGAAGCGGACAATGTCTCCTGGAAGATATGCAGATCGCCACACAGTAAAAAACCCCTCCCTGGTTACCAAATTTGGGCGACGAGTAGTGCAAGCTGTAACATATAGAGTTAAGTCTGTGCCTTCGTCTGCTAAAGATGTGATGCCTGAGACCTCTGGAAATGAAGGTGAGGTACTTAGTTCTCCAGTAGAACCTGGGCCGATTTCTTCATCTAAAGAAGTTGGACTTTTCTCACAAAAAAGTTCTATAGTTAGCCTTGGAAAATCTCCTTCTTACAAGGAAGTAGCACTGGCACCACCGGGTAGTATTTCTATGTTGCAGGGCAGGATGTCCAAAAATAATATTCCTGACAGCAAGGAACTTAGCGTTGAAAAACATGGAGATGAAACTAATGGGACGAAATTAAATTCTGAGTCCATGGTAACAGATGCAAACAATATAAAGGAAGAGAAAACTCTAAATATTGCTTTGGATTCCACGGATCACGTAAGAGATGAAAGTGAAGTTGTTGACAAGAAAGAAGAAACTCAATCAAATGATATGACAGGGGACAAACATTCTGAGATAGTGCCTGCAAGTGTGGAAGTGTTCCATTCTAGCTCAATTGAGGTTCATCTAGGTGTAGAGGAAAGCATCCAAACTGATGGCATACCGAATTCAATTGATTCTCACGAAGTGGAGATACAGAAGGACTCCTCTAGCAGTTTTGAGCCCGACAATAATTCAAACTCTACCTTCCAAGGAGTAGAAGATTTGAAGGATAAACCACTGGTTTCTTGTCCAAGTGATACCCGAGAATTCCCCAACAAGAAGTTGTCTGCATCAGCAGCTCCGTTCAACCCATCACCAACAGTCACACGTGCAGCTCCAGTGGCCCTGACTATCAATCTCCCTTCTGGTCCTCGTGCTGTTCCAGCTGTTGCCCCTTGGCCAATGAACATGACTCTTCATCCAGGAACTGCTACAGTCTTACCCACAGTCAATCCAATGTGCTCCTCCCCTCATCACCCATACCCATCACCTCCGCCAACCCCTAACATGATGCACTCCTTGCCATTTATGTACCCTCCATTTACTCAACCCCAAGCATTACCAACCAGTACGTTTCCTGTAACTAGCAGGCCCTTTCATCCCAGTCATTTTGCATGGCAATGCAATATAAGCCCTAATTCATCAGAGTACATTCCTGGTACAGTTTGGCCTGGCTGCCACCCCATAGAGTTCTCTGTTTCACAACCTGTGGTTGAGCCAATTTCTGATCCCATTTTGGAGCCAACGGAACAGGCTAATAATTCTGAGAGCCTGAGTTTCGCTCCAAATCTGCCATTGGACATCAAAAATGGGGAAGAAGTTAAGGAAGAATTAAATCTTCCAGCACTAGAGGCAATGGAGAACTCAAATGAAGCAGCTGGAGTCCACTCAGAAAATGAGAAAGAAAATAGTGATTCAAATTCAAGTAGTGTTCTATGTTCTGGGAATCAACTGCATTGCAGTAATGGTCAAAACAAAATTGATGGAACCAGTGGTGATAATCATGTGCCAATACACCCTTGGAATATTGATAGTGAGAAAACCGTCAACATCCTGATAAGGGGAAGAAGAAACCGAAAGCAGACTCTGAGAATGCCAATGAGTTTACTTAAAAGACCATATAGTTCACAATCATTCAAAGTAATGTATGGCAGAGTAGTCAGAGGGAGTGAAACTCCCAAGTCCACTAGCTGTTCTCCAAATGAAAATAATACAGCTAGTGCTACGTAAGCAAATTTTTGTTGCTCTTACTGGTTATGTGTAGCTGGATGGTTGAGAAAAGTAGAAGATACTTCCCTTTTTTTTCAATCGTATAAAGAGACGAGTATTTTAGTTTTGCTGCTTTCGTGGTTATCAGATTCCTAAATTTTGTGGTCACACAACTTCATGAAAATTGCAGGTTAGTTCCTTAGAATAAAAGCCAGTAACTTTTTTTTTTATATCTTTATGATCTATTCTTTTGGAGACAATATGTGGATCATGTTCAATCTTTCACTATCATCATGGGATTAAGCAGCCTTTGTCTCGACCCTCTAAACACCTAAGTCACCAAAATGTAGAAACTAGAAAGTTCTAAACTAATATTAGTCAAAACACAAGCATAATAACCATATAGTCTTGTTGCAGAATGCTATGGTTTCTCAAGCTATTATCTGCCACTAGGAGACCAATATGCAGTTACTTCTCATTAAAAGGGCAACAGCATGCGAATGAAAGTGTTGGTGGATGAAGCTTGTACTGTCTTTTTAACACAAGGTACTGTCTTCTTTATCCACTCTGAAATTTGTTTTTCAGTGCAACTATTGAAGCAAACAACTCTTTTAGCTATTGGTAATATTGAAGGGAGGATTGAATGAGCAAAGACCAAAATTTGAGATCAAGGCATTTTCTTGCAGTTAATCTCAAATTTATTACTCCCTCCGTCCCCTATTGGTTGTCCATTTCGTAAATTTTGACTCACTACTACTTTTTATTTTTGAGTCATTTCAGATCATTTTTAGTCATAGTCCTTTTATATACTTATATACTACCTATATCCCATATTAGATGTCTACTTCGGTAACTTTGGCTCATAAAAATTGTGAGTCAATTTTTGAAGAGGACAACTAATATGAGACGGAGGTAGTACTAAATTATTAAACAAATGATTTCATTTTGAATGAACCTGGAAAAATAGTGTCGAATCAGCCCAATGTGGGGTTGAAGGGTGGATTTGGACTGGATTTAGATCTATCATTCAGCATTACATGCAAAAAGTGGCTCCTTTCAAACTTGATTAAAAAGCAATGCTCTAGATTAAACAATGGTCATAAAGAATAAACATGGAATTAAATTAAGGTGACTCTCTTGTAGGTCTTTTCACCTTGCATTTGTAGAATTATTTGCCTAATGAGAAACTCAAGGTATTGAAACTCACAATGTGAATTGGATACTGCCATACTGGGATCATAACAACGTCATTTGAATTCACCTCCCTTACAAGAATTGGAGGTGAATAGTTATTACAGTTTGGTGGGGAGAAGTTTGGAGGTGGATGATATGACCTGAAACTGAATTACTTGCTTATCTATGTCTATTTTCGTAATTCTATTTTTAACATTTTATTCCTGACCACTTCGTTTTACCTTATTAAATATTCTATGTTCTTAGCACCTTTTGTGATTTTCTTCTCTCTCTCTCTCTCTCTCCCCTGAAAACTTTTTTCTGGTGGAAGTTGCTATTTTTAGGCTTTTAATAAATGTTTATGGAGTATGATGTATAGCGTTAGAGAAAAATGGTCAGAAATCAAGACTGTTGATTTGCTTCATCTTGTAATTCATAGTTCTTGCTAATTTTGTTTCTGGATGCCACAATCACTACTTCCTATATAGAGATGAACTGATTCAAATCCTAATCCTCTCATATACCTCACACAACCTGTCACCTGAAAATAACAACTGTGATTAATCATTAACTCTCCAGTCACACCACTAAAATTTTTCTTGTAAACTACTAGTAGATACAGGTTTCTTCTATTTTATCTGTTCTCGTCATATATTTGCATTTCTTTCTTCAGTTTTAGGTCTTTTATTATTAATTTATTCAATAGAAATATTCATATTCTACAATTTTTTATTTTTTTTTTCTTTTAGTAGAATCTTATGGTTTCATTGAGATGTGGCTGATCCCAAGTAATTTATATTGAGAATTGAACAAAATATTAGGGTTCTTGTTTTATTCCTGCAATAATGTCAACAACCGCAAGAAACTTGCGGTTGCACCATATCAAGATGAGAATTGGGTGGCTAAACTTTTTGCTATAGTTTTACTTTTTATACCTTTTTGCTGTATTTTTTGCTTTTTATACCATCGTTGGCTGATCCATAGTTCGCTTGTCGTGCAGGATTACAGCAGGAAATTCACTTTTGGGATGTGCAGGGGGTGGGGTGTTTGCAACTTCTTATATTCATAGTTTTTGTTAGGGAAATTCCATATTTTGATTCACAACAATAAGTGACTGAAAATGAGTTTTTTGATCTCCAATGGCGATGACAGATGATTTACTTGACTTGATTGTAAATGACATCTATTTTTAAATTTTGATAGACAGGATAACCACTCTGTTCAAATTGAGAACTACTAGTACCTGTTTCTTCATTGTTGCTTTTACAGTGCAATATTGATTGCAAAACAAATTATATCAATTTCTATAGAATCTGAAAATTTTCATCTATCTCTAAGCAGCATCCCATGTAAAGTGCTTATCAAGAGTGCATATATACGTACATACACCACACAAAAGTCTGTTCATTGCAGAGTGTTCTCTCTTGCATTGTTGTGTCAATGTTTATGCATCATAGTTCTGGACGGTGTGGTGAATTCGTTGTTAGATGTCTAAAATTCTAGTTTTACTAATACAGTCAAGATTACCTCCTGCACTTCAATCAGAGGGAGAGAGAGAGAGAGACAGAGACAGATCAAAGAACACCAGAGTGTCAAACAACTACTTTTTATTTTTCATTTCTACAACTATAAATAAATCAAAGAACATCACAAAAGTGTATTCGTGATTGGAAAAGCCTTTAACCACCAGAAAACAATATGAAGTTTAGTGACATTTGAAAGTATCTTAATCTGGCGTATGTTCAGTCACAAAACTCGTACAGCTGTGCTTAAAATCTGGTTGGGTGCAACAGAGATAATCTTGGGCAAGGATACTTTGCAACACATGCAATCTTGGGCAAGGATACTTTGCAAAACATGCAATCTTGGATACAGCAACTTCCTCTGATGACCCTCGCAGTTTGTCCCATGATCGGCTTAGAGTGCCCACCATCACCATAAAATTGGTCCTTGAGGGAAAAGGAACGCAACCACATACTCAGCCTCTGTGTTGCAGCGGTATCATAAGTGTCATGTGGAGCACTTTAACTGCTGCCCACGATTGAATGTGGAAACCCCTTCTTTCATTTGCAAACACCAAATTCTGAGAGTGCAAGATTAACTCTGTTCAGAAACAAGCCTAAAAAGTTTTAGGCAACCTGAAAATATGTTCCTCACCACTCTTCTCATCAACTTTGACAATCCATTTGCTTTTATCAGTCCTCTTCACAAAACCACCTTTTCTATCTGTTCTATGAACACATCTTCTGCTGCGATCTCCTACTCCAGTCTCAGTGCCCTTCCCAATCATAGTGATCTCCATGCCTCTCCCTATAGGATGCTTCATAGATCTTACTTTAACCTTGTTTTCCATTCCTTTGACATGGCCACCCAACCCTTTTCTCCCTTCCAACAAGTTATTTGCCACCACCACTGATCTTCTAGGATTAACATCCAGCAACTTTAGCAATCTCATATAATTGTCAGTTTTGCAATTGACAAGACAGAAATCAATGTTTTCGTAATTTGGCAAAAGCTCAACAGGGTCTCCAGTTTTAAATTCTACTATGTCATCCAAACCTGAATCTTCAATTACTTTCTGCACTTCGTCCTGTGTTGGCTCTGGAAGAATACATACAAGCTTGCCACCAGTTTGTCGAGCTGCTGCTGCTAAGGCTATTGTTGATAAGGACACCTCGGATGTGACTTCCACGATTAGTTTTGCACTCATGCCTGCTGCCATGGCTGATATAAACTCGTTGCTCTCTAACTCTTGTGTTTTACATAAGTTGCCTTGTTCTAAGTGTTCATTGCACTGTATGAATAGAAAAAAATAAAGTTAGCATCTTCATTTCAGTTTTCCATCTCAGAGGGTGTGTTTGGAATAATATACTTCATAAAGTAAAAATATTAAAAGATTATCTCCAGTTAATTAACAATACAGAAACCATTGTGCTGGAAATTTCTTGAAGAAGCAGCTATCAACTTCACTTAAAGATTATGGAGAAGTATGCCTAAAATACTACTTATTTCTTTGTCCATTGGGCAACAATAGATGAGCATTGGTGTTCTAAAAATTATGGTAATGGTCACATACAGAAGTGAAATTTGAAGTGACATTACTTCAGAGATGATTAATTCTTCAAAAAGCACATTCAAGAAAAGCAATCTTGACAATTCTGATTCTTGGAAGACTCCATATGGAAGGTTTCTCAGTGATGGAATTGACACGATTAGGAAGAAAATAAGAAGAAAAGAAAAAACTCCGGGTGTTCACAAGCCAGTTGGAAAAAAATGAAACTCAAATGAACATTTTACCCCTTTATGTCAATGGTAAGAATGGAACCCATAATCCCACCCCAACTTTTAAGATGCCATGCCATATCTTCAATGGCTTTGGCATGCCCTTTTACTCCTAAGGAGTGGAATGTCTTACGGTTAAAAAAGAAAGAAACATTGTTCCTACCAATTTTTTGGAAAACCACAAACCCTATTTGTGGCCAGTTTTTCCTTCCTGTTCTCTCAGCAATAATAAAAGAAGAAGAAGAAGAAGAAGAAGAGAGACTACTGCATCATCACAGTGAAAAATATAAAATAATTTTCAGCGATCAACGAGACTACCTCTTATGTACCGCCCACACTATGTAGATACTGTCCGGTTTGCACTCTATGTGCTCACGGTTTCAATTTGAAACATGTTTACACATGTAGGAGGCATCCCCTTATAAGTGCCAGCAACGTCTCCCCTGGGGTATGGGACGTCACACTACCACAACATCACATTAGAAATAACATAATTGAAACAAATTGCACAAGTATGGAGAGTCTGACAATAAGCATTTCTCTTTGCATAAGCCAACGTACCATTTCCACCTTTTATTGATATTGTTTTCATTTGAATATGTTTATGTATCATTCCATAAATTTATGAATCAGATTTTTATTTTAGGTTGGTTGTATCTAAGAGCTATTATTTCTCTCTAGCTTTTCAGAAATTCAACATTTATCCCAATCCTCAAGAATCATAATTTTAAAGAAGGTGACATTTGCCATTGTATTGATTATAGTCTTATAATTATACATAAATACATGTGTATATATATATTATATATATGAAAGGATTACGTTAGTAATTTATCAGAAATTCAACATTTATCCCAATCCTCAAGAATCATAATTTTAATGTTTTTGTTTTAATACTAAGCCGGACTCCATGCATATATACAGAAAACTAGAATTAAGAAAAACAAAACGTTGAAGAGCATGAAGACTATCAATACAATGGCAAATGGCACCGTCTTTTGAGGGTTATAAACTTATAGTTATACATAAATACATGTATGTGTATATATATGAAAGGATTATGTTAGTAATTTAACTATAGTTTTTATAATTGACTTATTCACATCTTTAAAAGCTTTAAAATGAACTATAACATCCTGGAATTAGAGAACAACGAAACACAAGAAATCTTCCATCTTAACTCAGTTTTAATCATAATTTTAATTGTTCTCATAAACAGAAACTAACATATATGTGTATAACTAATAAATAAATACAAAAAAATAAAGAGAGAGAGAACGAAATTAGATATATTACCAGTTTGAGAGTATCAAAATAAGCATTTGTAGCAGATTTCCTTGACCATTCCATAATCGATCAGATATATTGTAGCAGAGGAAATATTTATATAAGAATGAAAATAGTAATGAAAAAAAAAAAACTAGGGTTTGGAAAGCTAAGGACGAGAGAGATGAGAAGTGAATTTGCGGGACGCAATTAAGGGCAAATCACAATCTCTCATATATAAATAGGAGGTTGTCAAACTGTGGCGCGAATATACCGGAAACTAACTTCTCATTACTTACACCAGTAAACCTTTACAGTTCTAGAAGCGATGTTTTTTTCTTTTTTCTTTTTTTTTTTCTTTCTATTTTTGGCCAATCCAGAATTATTTTGTTATTTTATGGTTTGGGGAAATCCACAAGTATTGTTTTTTTATGTTTTGGGACAATCCAGAAGTATTGTTGAGTTCTCGTTTGGCCAATCCAGAAGTGTTGTTTCATGAGCAATTATTAACAAAATTAGAAGCCCTCCTAAAATTATACCACTCTGAATCTCTTGCTACAACTGACGTTTCAATATATTCTCTAGTATAATATTTGTTGTTAAAATTAATGGTTAAATATATTGCTTAGAATGGAATCTCTTAAAATTAATGTTTCAATATATTACTTAGAATATAATATTTCTTGTTAAAATTAATGTTTCAGTATATCATTTGAAAGCAATGCCTCCATAACTCAGTTATTGGCACCTCTTAATTTTGGAATTTGAGATCTAATGTCTTTTCTTAAAATTAATATTTCAATGAATTACTTTCTAATCTACTACCTCAAAAAATAAAAAATAAATTAAAAAAAAAATATTAAATTGCTCCCATTGAGAAATGCTTCCTTTGTTAAGAATGATGGAAAAGTAAGTGAAAACAGTAGTAGAAAATATGAAAAACATTCTAAAGGGAATGTGTCCTTTTTTTGTTTGGAAATGAATGAGATGATTATATATATATATATTTATCATACTAACCTCATTATATAGTTGGACCAAAATAAGTTAAGCACAATCATGTCATTTCGCATTATACACAATATTAGTCATTCTTTTTACACTAATTTTGAAAAAAATATAATTTTTAAGTATGATAATGTCACTTCACATTATACATAAAATTGATCATTCTTTTTCATCTAATTTTTTAAAAAACTAAAATTTATGAGTGAGGAGGGATGACTTATCTATCTATCCAATAATTCAAAAGCAACTTGATCATAATTTAGGCCCCCTTAATTTATTAAGCTTAGTTTGAAAATTGGTGTGACACTAGAGGCCTTTGAACTAGCATAGTTTCAATAATATACATTGACAATTAAGATAAATAATTAAACATTGAATGCAAGCATCATCATCCGGGGGTGTAGCTCATATGGTAGAGCGCTCGCTTCGCATGCGAGAGGCACGGGGTTCGATTCCCCGCACCTCCATTATTTCAGTTTTGTTTTTTTGACTCCTTACATAGCAAACTGATTTTGAACAAGAAAAGACTTCTTAGGGAAAGAGAACATGTTTTATATAATAAATATATGTGTGTGTATATATATATAGAGTAATATTAAATGAGAATAGCTTTCAGAGAGAGAGAGACAGAGAGAAATGAAAGTAACTTTTCATTTCAGTGTATCAAAGCAGTACATCCATATTGCCTTTTATAGGCTTAGAATCTAGCTTCCCTTGTAAGCCACGGGTAGTCTTCCCTTGTAAGCCACAAATGTGGTCTTGTTCTTCATTCAATATGTGATCTCATTGATGGCTTAAACCATATGTGATCTCATTGATGGCTTAAACCATTTGGCCATTTGGGAACCCCACACAATTATATATATATATACATATAACATTTTAAAATTTATTTTAGTTTTATTTTTGCAGCGGGATTGGAATGACAAGACTATAAACAAACTTAATATTTGTATTTGATTTTATAACTCTCATGCTCAAACTTCAATTCTCACGCAGGAAATAAAAAATTATTATTAGTTAGATCACACACTTGTCCAAAGTTCCAAACACATGATGAAGTCCAACAACATATATAATATTCAGTGCTCATCATAAATTGCAATCTTTTCGGTTGAATCTTAAAAATTCTCAAGCTATCAGGTGGGAGGTTTGATCATTGCATGGGAGCTCCATATTCAGATTGTCAAGTTGATTAGTTGCAGATTATATCCTTTATTGTGCAGCATTTATATATATATATATATCCCTCTTCAGATTGTTTGATGGCTAGTTTTACTTTGCATTTCATTGTTAGCTTTCTATTTTATGTTCATCTTGTTGTTTCTGCTGCCCTGTTGGCTCATGGTGGTTGTAGCTTTGTGTGTGTGTGTTTTTTAGGTTGAAATTGTTTTTCTTGAAACAAAAGAAATACAAATTGTGTTCTCCATTTTTATAGACAGTGCATGTCCTTGGTTTGGGCATCAAAGTGTTTATATCATCAATATAATAATGAGATCTTTACATCAGAGGAGAACCGATAATGAAATTAGGATAAAACCATGGATACAAATAGATCTTATTATATGAATCTTTGAAAAATGTACTAAAAGAGAGGGAAAAAAAAATGTACTAAAAGAGAGAAAAAAAAAAAGAAAAAGAAAAAGAAGAAGAAGACAATCAGCCCTCCTCACAGGTACAGACGAAGAATTAGAGTCACGAATAAAAGAACATTGCCCTGCTATTATAAATTCCAATTACTAAAGAAAGAAAGGAGAAACAAAAAACAGGGCCTGTTATAATCTATTTTCTGATAAAAGAAAAAGAGAAGAAAAACCAGAAAACAGCTCCAAAATTCATTTGGCTGAGTGTCTTTTACTAACATTGGCTCTTATGTATAAACCAGTTCCTGTTTTCACTGTTATTTGGGAAAAGAGAACCAAACAGGATCTAAATATTGCTCTCTACTTAGAAGACCAGGCAACTGCATCCATCTCTGTTTGGGCACTTCTGTATAGGTCCAGCCTCTTTGCAATAGAAACACGACGCTGCATTATTGCTGGATCCTCATCCAACAATGAACCCAACTGTTTCCCCTGCAAAACAATTTGGTAAATGAAAATAAGCATTTCCTCCTCTTACCTTGGGTTTAGTTTGAGGGTTTGGAATACAAATCCTCACCTCCTTTTTACCCAACTCAGTGAAGAAATGGTCGAGTAAGCTGCGTTTAGCCTCACGGACTTGACAATAGACAATGGACTTGGGGATGGAGTTCCTCAAACCTCCACAAACCATATTGACATAAGATAAGACGGTTGTTCCTATTTGATTGAGAGAGGGAGAAAACCAAGACCACAAACTTTATTAGAACAGCACAAAACATGCTACTAAGTGGTGAGTTGCATGCAACTAAAATCTTTTCCTTTGTTGGTTAAAATCACGGCAACTATATAATAGCCTTGCTACTTACCAACTCGCCGAAGATATGACTCATTATATCTATCAAATATTGAATGTGTTGGATTTCCACCCTTCTCAATGTCTTGAGGAAGCTTCCGAAAGAAATCAACTGTCAGGTAACTGCACTCCATTTCTACCAGCTGCAGAGTTGCTTTCCTGCTTTCTTCCTTCATCCTGTCCAATGACTCACAAGCTGCATTTCCAACCTCCACTCTCAGAGTGGGATACTGTTTCAGCTCCTGCAGCCGTAGAAGCAGGCATCTGTTTGTAAGTAAAATATTCATTGATCAACTTATGTGTAATTACTGTGACAATGAGAAATACTAATCACTCCATTAAACAAGATGAATGAAACTCTTTTTACAATTATCAGCCATCACTTTTTTATTTTGTTATTTTTTGTTTTGTTTCAAGACTATATAGTGTAAATCTCAAAAGCTAACTTTTTTATTGATCAACTTATGTGTAATTACTGTGACAATGAGAAATACGAATCACTCCATTAAACAAGATGAATGAAACTGTTTTTACAATTATCAGCTATCACTTTTTTATTTTGTTATTTTTTGTTTTGTTTCAAGACTATAAAGTGTAAATCTCAAAAGCTAACTTCATTTAGTTTTTTTTTTTTTTTTTTTCCCTCACAGTACAATAAGTAGCAATATCTGAACTTTATTGCGTACCACATTACTCCATTACCATGTACACATAAAATTAAAGGCTGATCCCACTGCAAGAGCACCTTTGGCTGCTTCAGAGGATTGAAAAGTTGTATGTTGCTTGAAAGCAGCCGAAGCTGCTCTGGAAATAGGGTCACCTAAGATCAAATCCATTAACCTAATATAACAGAGAAGGTCTGGGGACTTGCCACAGTCTCACCAATTGCCTTGAGAACCAGTTCTTTCAGTATAGCATGAATCTGAAACCATTGCAAAAAAAGTATCAAGCTTCAAGGTCATATCAAGAATTTCAGCCTGGAAAAGAAAATGTAGAATAAACATAAAATATCATCTCGAAATTTTCTTACAGGAAACTTCACAAAAAATTCATGTTTATTTTTTTAAATAGCATTTTTCTTCAGATGGTCAAAATGGGGTGAACTACAGAGAGCAAATTATGAGAGATGTTTGCATACAAAATTATAAATCAGAAAGGAAGGGGACATAAATAACTCGAAATGGAACTCCTTTAGATAAAGGGACAATGACATGACCTGCTCATGAAGAACCACTAAAAGCATTTGAAAAACACAAGGCAAAACATATGCATCCATGAATGCAACATACATACACCTAGAGAGATGCTTAAAGAATTTCCTTCTAGAACCTCTCAAATGCACAACCATATAGGAAAAGTCTCGATCATTTTTTTTTTTTAATTTTTAATTTTATTTTATATATATAGTTTCATTTCTATGGGGGAGTGGGGCAGGGATTGCTACCCGAGTCCAACAACTCTCTCTCTTTAAGCTCACTCAAGCTAATTTGTTGCCGTGTACAAGTCCAGCTTCGGTTGAAACTGGAGGCTCATTAGATATTCAAGCCAAGTTTGATCTCTCAGGCTTGCTCGGACAGGCTGATGAACATGCAAAGACATAAAAATTATAGAATTTGAAACAATTAAATTCCTGAATTTGATCCTACATTCAAATCGACACTAAAAGGAAGCTTACAACAGCCAGCACTAACTTCATCATAGTTCTAAATTCTAATTTTCCAACCATTTATTTGAACTTCAGTACTAAGATAAGAGTTATTCCGTCAGGTCAAAAGCATTAAGAGATGTATAGTACTGCATAATTCCAATATAGTTTCTGAACTCAGCTTCACATACTTCCAATTTTTGTCATATATCTGGTGTCAACACACCCATTGGATCAGTGCCTTTAATTTTATCTATTTGACTATTTCTCAGGAAAAAAAAAAAAAAAATTAGAAGTAGATGATAAAGCCCAATACCAAGTCATGTGAGAAAAAGCTAGCCTAGACTATGCTGTTCAATTGGATCCTCTTTTTTCCAAGTACTAGGCTTGTGTACTTCAGCACTCAATGTTTTCAGGTCAATTTCAGGCCAAGCTCAAGATCCACCAGACTTCTCAACCAAGCAAAGCTTGAATTTGAAAAGTTCACTACTCGGCACTTATTAAGTTACTATGGTGCAATCACAAAATGCATAAAATGTTGGTGTAAAATGCTGTTCTATGTTTAGATGCATACCGCATCAACAGCCGCTTCAGCAGGACCTTTAATGGTAACTAGTGAAGATTCAATTAGACGGCGATATCCTTGTTCAGGAGCTATTAGATGAGGTTGATATCCGTCAGCTTCAGTAATCAGCTTTCTTACATTATCCATTGAAAGTTGCTTGTCAAATTGCAACCTTTTCAAATTAGCAGGAAGTTGATTATCAAATACGTTGTATATCTTATCACCACCTGAGCGTCTGCCGAAATTAATCATCATCATAACTAAAGGTTAGATCAGGAATTAACATGAAAACCAAAAAAAAAAAAAAACCCAGAAACGGATTCACAGTTCATACGTGCCATCAAGATGCTCTTTAAATATTTGATCAAAACCACGGCATATTTCCATAACCATGTATAATTTTCCCTGCACAAATGGGAACAAAAATCACAAATGTCTTCATACTATAAGCACAACCTTGGAACAAGCATGAAGCATTTTAAAATTCTAGATAAACACAACGCTTAAGTTAGAGAATCCATGGGCCTGCTAAGAGTGCCATAAACCCTATGCAGAGCTTGAAAACAGCCAATATAATTGTTGCCTAATGACTGAGCTACTTAGACCAAAATGTAGTGGGTCTCATGCAGATACATTAAGCCGAAAGAACGATAAATAAGAAAGGGAAAAATAAAATCATAAAGTAAAATCTGATACTTACTCCGGTATCAGTGGCAACAGGTTTGCCAAGACGGCTCAATTCTGTTTCTAAGTCAATGATAGTTTTGCTAATAAGAGACTGAAGGCCTGGGATTCTAGACTTGATGACATGTTCCAGATGCTGAAAAAAGTGCCAAAAATATGAAATCAACCATCACAATAAGAATTAGTATGATGAAATTGTCAACTAGAAGTTTAAAAGAGAATTAACAAAACACATGATTGAGGCCTCTCCAGTCTCCACACAATATAAGTATAGCACCAATAAACATGTGTTAAAAAAAATGTGTCGGAAACTGAATAAAAGTAAAAAATACAGTCAGTAAAAACATTTGCTTACTTTGGAAAGCATCTTTCCTAAATGCTCAGAACCCATCCTGTTAACAAGATGTTTGTACTCTGAGCTCTGGGCAAAATACTCTCTCTCTTTACGCCGAGCAGCAATCATGTCTACGCTTTTGTTGATATCAGCTTGAGAACGATTCACGACGCCAATCCATGGAAATTGTAGCTTATACGACCTTCCTTCCAAGATCTGACAAACCCCACAGGAGAAATTAGATTAACTACTTTTGTGTTTAAAATCAAATCCTGTACAAGCCTTAACATTTACTTTTTCTTTTTTTTTTGGGAAAAAAAAAAAAAAAAAAAAAAAAAAACCTAAGTAAAAGAAGGTTGCCACATTAATGATGAGTAAAATAGCAAATCATCCTAGACATAAACCAGCAAATAATACAAATGAGATTATATTTGATCAAGTCACTGAGTTATAAAATATTAGAAGTGGGACATGCAATGAACTCCTACATTTCTGTTTTTCTTTTTCCTTTATTATTATCTCTTATAATTCACCATAATAGTTTTTAATGATTATCTTTCTTTTGGAAGAGTTAAGTGCTAACAAATTTTTAGTAGTAGTTATGGCGGATGGAGGTTGAAATGGTGCAGTTAATTAGGAGAGTTACAATGGAAAGAGTTTGAAATGGAGTAGTGCTTTACTGTTCTGTCCTATATTTTTCAGTTGCAGTTATGATAAGGTCATATTTGGTTTCTTAACAGGGTGAAAATGCCAGAGACCAACTACCCTTCAAGTTCCATTTAATTGTTACATCATTATGCATCATTTAATCATGCACTTCTGATAGAAGGAAAGTTTAGCAGGCTTCCTATGTGTGTGTGGTTGCATATTAATCCAAAGTCAGAAAAAAAATCAGAAATAAAATAATGAACTGTTATGAAATTATTTTGTTGGACAACATCCAAAAGCAAACCTACATCAACTGCATTAGTACCCTGGTCCATAAGATCAATCTTCGTCAAAACTCCAAATGTCCTCTCCCCTGAAAAGATGACAACCAATAAACTAAATATCAGAATGTGTAGAAGGCATCTACGATAATATGGCCATCATTATTATATCAAATGGAATATATATTAAAACAGTGGGACTGAAAGTCCTCAATCTCGAAGGTTCAAGAAAATTTGGTCTTTATTATATTGATATTCCCCACGCACAAAAGGAAAAAGAAAAGGTCTCAATAGATCTTTTATTTCAAATGATAGAAATGCTAAAATCTATTGAACAAATAAAGTCGAAGGTTTTCCTAGTCGAAGGCAATTGAGCTCTAAACAAAAAAAAAAAAAGAAGTTGATGGAAAATTGAAAATGAAGTCTGTCGTCTGAAATACTGGGAAAATATCCACTACTGTACATGGTCAAGCAACCTTGAAGAATCTTAGGGACTTCCGTGCATTTGCAGGCACATACACCACTTATGCAAGTGTAAATGAAAAATATTAACATTAAATAGCATATAATAATCCAATGTATAAGAATTGAATAATAAAAAAATCCCTAAATCTTATTATTAGAAAATCTATGTCAATGTGACTTGATCAACTTAAGTTGTAACGGTCACTCTTTATTTATTGTACATGCTTATTATGATTTATTTTATTTTTGAAAAAAAACTCTACTCAAAGCACCAAGATAGACAACCCAAACAAATGCTTCAGCATTAAACAAATTTGAAATGCATATCTTAAGCATTGTCCAGGAATAACTACTGATCCCATATGCTTGAAGCAAGTGGTGAGGTATTTGTTTCCTGAATTAAATTTTAATGCACTTTGTTTACAATTTCTCTATTTATAACAAGTTACTTGACAAATTTTCTATGTAATTTTTTAAAAAAAGCACTTCCAAGGTTGACTTAGAGCTTAACTGAGTTGAGTTCGTTGCCAAGCTGTGCAAGTTTATCTGCAAAGGAACTTCTTCCTGTAGCATATTCACTATTGTGTATTCTACACAAGATTGCACTATCACAAAAACCTGTCTGCCCATGTTAAGCTAGGATCTTTTATCTGATTCACCAAGACAAATGGGAATTTCATTTACTCTTTTTTATCCTTTGCCAAAATGATCTTATTATTTTGCCTGTTTAATTTTATTTTTTCATTCTAATCATCTTGTAGCAAGTTATCTGACCCCAAACAACAGTAATTCAACTAGTGAGGCATGCCTCAGCCTATCGAATTCTAAATAAGAGGTGGAATGTTTAATGGAATACGAGGGAGGAAGAGAGAGGTTTATTAATCTTACCTTTGGGGTCGACTTCACGAGAAATCTTAATTGCATCAGAGGTAGCAAGATCTTGATTGGCAGGAGAAATTGCCAAAATTATACAGTTGGGCTGCAAGATTACAAATAAAGATAAGCCTATTAAATATGTCACCTTGTGAAATTTGATCCCATGCAATACATCATAAAATTTTCAACAACAAAAAAATGCATCTTTATTACTGACCCCATGTAATTATTAAGAATCCAGTGTACAATTATTCAAACAAGAAGATTCTAGATCACATTATTACCGACTCCTAAAATTCACATGTTTATAAAATGAATAAGTCCCCAGGGAGTGTTCTGAAGAAATTTCATGGGCACCAACCCAAAATTTTCATTAAGTTATAATCTATCTCCAAAGCAAAAAAAAAAAAAAAAAACGGAGTTTCATAATTCTAAAACTAATTTACCTTTTCAATATAAGACCGAACCATATTCTCAATGTCTTGCACAATGCTTTCAGGCTGGCCATCTGCAACAATTCAGTTAAAATTGTAATATATATTTTATTTAAAAGGACAATAAGACAAAAAAAAAAAAAAAAAAAAAAAAAAAAGCCAATGAAAACTTATTCAAAACTAATTCATAAAAGGAAACACGCAAAAGATGATAGATGCTTCACTCACCAACAGCTACTTTTGTAAGCCCAGGGAGATCGACTAGTGTCAGGTTCACAACTACAGAAATCAAACAATCATAACAACCAGAAGAAGTTATTAGAAATTTCTACATACAGTAATTAGTAGAGTTAGACCAAATTAAGTAGAGTTAGTAAGGAAAGATATGATAACATGTAGCTGTAGTGAAGCTATAGCCTCAGATAAAGCAAGACGGAACAATAGAATTCATGTAGCCGACCCCAGGTAGTTGGGAAAAGGCTTTGTTTGTTCTTGTTGTTTGTAGTAATTAATAGAGTTCCAGATAGAGCTTAATTGTCTTTCTGCATGCACAAATTGTCCTTCCTTTTTATTCATTGAGCTTACCAATAATCCTCCTCAAATATTATATATTTCTTGGATGACTTGAAGTTTTAGCAACACTTAAATTTGTCATTGCTTATCTTAGTTTTGGGGTGGGGTAAAGAATATTGGCAATTCATAAATAAAATAAGAAAGAAAAAGAAAAGAAGAAAGATTTAAAATATAACAAACATAAAGATCATAGTTGTAGATAAAATAGTAACACTGTCACAAGTTGCAAATACAATGCCCCTTGCTATTATTCAACAATACAGTAAGAACCAATTCGGGATTGAATCAGATGAGCAAGTAGAGGAAAGCTAGAAAGAGCCACAATAGAGAAATATCAACTCAAAAAGCCTAATGCAACTAGAGCTTGACTAAGAGGAGGATCTGATTAGGGCCTGAAGAGCTGAATCGGAAGCACATTGAAGGCTGCAATAGCTCTCTCTCTCAACCACAGGAAAGATATGTGTTACATTTGAATTATGGAACAATTCACGTCAACACAAATCTCTTATGATAGAGAATCTCCTTTCAAATGTCAAGAACTATCTTCAGTCTTTAATTTTGCTAGACTGCTATTGTCATACTAAATTCAAAATGATTCATTATATATAATAAAATACATAAAGTTAACCCTTCCAACTCTCCGGAATATATCTTCCCTGACACCTTAATGCGCTTTGCACAAGTTCATGTCTCCAGTTTCTTTTCCTCCTCTTATTAAAATCATCATATGCTACAACACTAGCCCCACCCACCATGTTATTTGTCTTCTGTAATAGATGCATACATATATGCACATACAAATATAAATATTCTAAAATTTTTCAAAACTTGGTGCCAAGAATATGTCTTTTTTGCACTAGCTGCCTTCTAGATACCATCACTCTCCACCAATTTTATGTAGATGGAAAGTCATTACCTCTAGATTCTAATTTACAATAATTACATAAACCACCTAATTGACCATAAAATTGGCTTCTGCTTTGATGTTTGATTTCTCTAATTCCAATTTTATCTCACCAAATAATGTCTTCCTCCTTTTGTATTTAGAAAGTAGGACAAGAACACGTTCACATCCAAGCCAGGACTTGAACATTGCATTTCCTCATTTCAATTTTCACCATTTAGTTCTAACACTATTGCATGTCACATTGTCAGAGTGTATACATGCAAAATTACAATTCTCATGCATTACTCTACTCTCCTAATTATGAAAAAATTACCTACCTAAATATTGTTTCAACCAGTTGTGAAAACAAATATAACTACCTACATCTTTATTGAGAGTATGTGTTAGTTGTAAGATGATGATAGTGCATTTTAGATTCTAAAAATTGTTCTCTTTAAACCATGAATTGTATCCTCTACTACCATCTTTCAAGTTCCCTAAAAAAACTATTTTATTTTCATGGATTCCTTTTGATTTTGGATTTTTCTTTTTACATATTGCTTGTCATATGTCAGATTTGAATTATGAGCTTGCAATTCAAAACATAAAATTTAAAATTTAAAAAAGAAACTTGGAATACTGAGGAAATAAATGGGAACACATTGGTTCAAATGGAGAACAGTATTACATGGTTTGCACCAAAATATTCTTTTACCAAGTTAGAAGTTCTTTGAGCACAAAGTTTTCTAATATTTTCGCAGGAAATAAATAATTTAGTTTATATGAGTTGAAAATGTACAGAGTTAACGTGAGAGCCAGGACCCAAGAGTCCAATTGAACACCAGAGTCCACCGAAATGTACATAAATGTTTTGAAACACCATGATTCATTGCAATTCTTAATTCTCAAATGCAGTGCAGTTTAACTAGCAAAAATGACACAACCAGTGGCGTATAACCAAAAATGACCCAAAATCTAATCTCACCATGAGGGGAATAGATACTGAGATGAATTGGAACAGTAGAAATTTGTTTCGAGCGGCCTGTCTCTCGATCTGTTTCATCAGCGATCTCCTTCCTCACAGCAGCTGGCACAAAATGTAGCCAAGATTTTAGCATCTGAGACCGAACAAAACGAAAAATATAGAACCAAAAATAATAATAATAATAAAATAAACCAAAGGTAGAGAAAAATATAGATTTGTTAATAACAAGGAAAACTGAGCTAGAAAATTGAATAACGTCAAATTGAGAATAATGAGAGTCATATCCCAAGTCTAACTAGCAATAGATGAAAATACATGCTACGGAATACGAAAATAATGATGACTAAATGACAAATGATAATGTTCAGATCATTTATATAATAAGGGATATACCAAAATCAGTGAACCTCTTTCTTGGTAGGTGCATGAATTCCGCATATTCCCTTCCCTCATCAATCTTATGAAGCTGTAGGACAAGAGGACGTCGGGTAACAATACCTGCATATGATATGGTTGTGTCATTTCCAGAGTTCACATGATTTATAAGTCACTGAGCATGTTAAGTCTAATAAGATAAAATGCGGGAAAATCATACATGTAAAAGTTAATTTATTAAAGGCATTAATTACCAGATCCACGAGGCAAAAAGTCCTTTCCAACAACGCTCTCTAGCACCGACGACTTCCCAGAGCTCTGCAAACCATTAAAGAAATGGGATGATGAATATGTTACGCATAAAATATAACGAGTAAGCCCAAATCAATTTGCGTGGTTCCAGTAAAGATCAGCGAATCACTAACCAAAAACATGAAACCTAGACTAGTGATTCAAAAACAGCCCACAGAAACTTTTGTGATATAACAAATGGACATATTGGAAGGTAGCTAGTGATTCACATTGACTATTATAGATGAGATAGATGGCAGTTTGGTAGAAAGAGAGGCCTTTCCATGGGCATGTTGGTGTTTTGTGCATGGAATAGAGAGACAGAGAGAAAGAGAGAGAATTGCCCTACAAATATCCAAAACATAAAGAGAGAGAATTGTCCTACAAATATCCAAAACATTTATCATCTTCCTTGAGAATACAGCATTGCACAAACTTCTAGGACATCTCATGCTCCATGTCTTTGTGAATTTGTAAAATGGGAGAAAAGTGTTAGGAAAATTTTGAGATGCAGTTTTACCAATCTGGATTCCTGGAGCGTCAATCCTAAGTGCAGTTTGAGTATGCTACAATAAATGTGCATGCACCCCATTATTGCAATGAAAGGATCCTTTTTTCTTTTTTGGATTTCTTCACTAGGCTATCCTGCAGGCTTCAGTGTATGTGCAGGCAATTGATTACTGCAAGGTGAAAATTTCTGGTGCAAGAACTGGAACGGAAAAAATAGAAACTTGTTGAAAGATCAAGCCTGGTAGAGGCAGACATGAATTCATGACTGAACACTGACGGTTTCCACCACTAAAGCATATTATTTTTATTATTATTTATCAGCATATACTGATTACTTCACATATTTGTTAGTAATAAACAAAATTTATACCAATGAAAAGCTTGAAGTTTTTCAATTTAGAAGTGAAGAGAATGGTAATACTAAGGACCTGAAGGAAATACAGTTGAAAATGTAAAAGCCAATATTATGTAAACAAGTCCATCAAAATTTAAGTTTAGCCTTGTAAATCTCACCTAGCAAGCATGACCTCAAACAAGACAGCAAAACTAGAGAATAATATTATTAAAATTAATTACTATGATCCAATAGATAGTCAACATTGATGGTAACTTTTTCTGGTACAATAAGAACTTGCATTTGTCAAAAACTAATCTGTTCACTTAAATAACATTAATACAGCAGCATACATGCCAAATAAAGAACTGAAAGTATTTGGATCAATGTGAAACTTTCTAGAAGTTAAACAAAACTCGGGCAAAATGCAAATAAATAAATAGTATATTTTTTTTGCTATAATTTATGAATATATCATCCAACAAAAATATATTTTTTAAAAGAAAAAAGAAAAATACATTTCAATATGAAAATTTAAAAACAGAATAAAATAATATTTAATCCTCACGTAAATGGAAGCAGAAGTTTGAGCTCAAATTGGAGTTAGAAATAGAAAAAAGAACAAAAAGCAAATAAATATGAGATCAAAGGGGAAAATCTATATTCAAATATAAGCGAACATATAAAAGCGCATACATGAAATGGAAGTTCAAGGTCAAGCTTGGAAATTGGAAAACAGAACAAATCAAATAAGTGAGTGGCAAGTTCTGATTCAGAAGGAGAAAAAATAAATAAATAAATAAATAAATAAAATTGAAAAAAAAAACCGAATATATGTATATCAGTATCTATAATAAAAATGTGGCACGAAATGAAGAAACATTGAAGAGGAGAGAGAGACACCTGACCGCCAACAACAGCAATGGAAGGTAAGGCATCCCAGAGAGTAGGCAAGGCGCTACCTTCGCCGTGATCTCCGAGGGCCGTACACGCCCTCTGTATTTTGTTCACCAAAGATATCAGATTCTCCATTTCTTTTTGGTAAAAAAATAAATATTGCTGAGTTCAGGAACGGTTTTTGTGTGTTAACGATGGTTTTCAATTAATTTTCAGGAACTGTTGTTGACACATTTTATTATAAAATGATGATTGCAGAGCCCTCATTTAGAACGAACAATGAAGAGAGAGAATAGGGAGCTTTTTTTTTCAAAGGAGCAAAGCGGGGATAGCCCAACGGACCCGGAAGAATATTTCTTCACTTTTAACCGAATCAATGTTTTAAACAGATGGAAATAAATATAAATTAAGGGCAAATTTCTTAAAACCCCCACAACTATCACTAAATGATCATAAAACCCCAACCTATTTCTAAAAACCCCTACACTATTATAAAGTTATCACATTGCCTCAATATCCGAGTCCGACCCGTTAACCGGACTGTGAAATGACAAATTTAACCTTATCATTTAATGTTAAATTAAAAATAGAAAATTATTATTTTTTAAATTACAAAAATACCCTCTTCTTTTTCTTTTTTTTTTCTTCTCATCATCATCTCCGGCAGCAAGAATATTGCTGACGATGAAGCTAATCGCCGCCGGCAGCGACCAAACCAGGTCGCTGTCGGCTTCCTCTCATTCCAGCGAGGTCACTGGATTGGTCGCTGCTTACTATTGCTTATTTCTTATCGGCGGCCCAAGGTTGTGCCCTTCTTCTACCGATCAACTAGGTTGCCAGAGCGCGACTTGGTGAGCACCATGGATGTCGACCAGAAGCTTTTCAAAATTGAGAGAAGAATGATTCACCAATGAAAAAGTGTATGCATCAACAGCATGAAGATTTGACGATGACGCCATTGAAGCGCCGAATCTCGAAGTCACAGATATTAAGGAACCATCAAGAGATATGGAGAAGAGCGAGTGAAAAAGCTACACGACGACTCACCCACCTTTCTCTTCTTCCACTACCTCATCGTCTTCATCTTTCTTCTCAAGGAACCTAATTTAAATGAGAGAGAAACTTTATGCTCTTCGAAAAAAAAAAAAAAAAAAAAAAAAAAGGTCCATTAGACTTGAATTTCAGAACATTCAATCACACGCAAGATTTGACCATTCCTCCATCTCAAGCCCACTCTTCCTCCTCTGTTTCTCACTCCGACGTACCCATTCTCTCTCTAGAATATCAGGGAACCCAATTCTTCCAATTAAAGGCTCAGAAGTTACAACCGCAACATAGGTAGAAGAAACAGAGTGTTGAGACCAGAACAATGGCTTCAAACACAGACACGATCATGAAGAGAGAGTCGTTGATGAACCCAATCTGAAAAGTCAACCTCTTCCACCGAAACCCAGAACTCCTGAACCTCCATGTCCACGAACTCTTCTTCCCCAGTCTCTTGAAGCTGAACCACGACTTCTTCTCCATCTCTCTCTCTCTCTTTTCTTTTTCTCTCTCTATATTTTGTGTTGGTGCAAATGTATGACACGCAGTTTGGTTTATTATACACAATACTGGAGTTGTCTTTGATTTTCATTGATACCTGGTTTGGTCGCTGCCGGCGGCGATTTGCTTCATCGCCGGCAGTATTCTTGTTGCCGGAGATGATGATGAGAAGAAACAAAAAAGAAAAAAGAAAAAGAAAAAGAATAGGAGAGGGTATTTTTGTAATTTAAAAAATAATAATTTTCTATTTTTAATATAACATTAAATGATAAGGTTAAATTTGTCATTTCACAGCCCGGTTAACGGGTCGGATTCGGATATTGAGGCAATGTGATAACTTTATAATAGTGTTGGGGTTTTTAAAAACAGGTTGGGGTTTTATGATCACTTATTGATAGTTTTGGGGGTTTTGAGAAATTTGCCCATAAATTAATTTAGATTCATTCGGGTTTTTTTATCCAAAAATCATAAATTAAACAAATGCTAATGGTTCCATTATTGTTTCAACTAGAACAATTTGGATTGGATTGACATATATTGAATCGTATATTATACTTCATGATTAAGGAGAGTTGAGGTTGTATTGTGAGTTCTCAATTTTCTGGTTCCTTATTACAAATATTAAAATTTTTAAACATGCCATGTTATCAAAGTTTTTGCATTTTTTAATTTTTTTTTAGATTATTGATTACTTAAAAAATTCTTAATATTTAAATCTCTATATATATTCCATACACCAATGTTAATATTTGTGTTGCAATCATGTCTATTTCCCTGAAATATCTATATTTATACTATTATTAAATGTGTAAAGAGTTTCAGTTTTTTTCAGTATTTCAGTATTTATTTATTAACATAAAAAAAGAGTTTTTATAAGCAAAAAATTACCTTCAAATTACAAATTACCTAATAATTTTTTTTTAATTTTTTATTTTTTTATCCCACATTGATTTTAAGTAAAAAGTAGTACAGTGTTTCAGTATTTTTTTATTAATATTAAAAAAGAGTTTTTAAAAGCAAAAAATTACCTAAAAATTATTTAAAAAGTTTAATTCAAATTACAAATTACCTAATAAAATTAATTTAAATAGTTTAATTCAAATTAAAAATTACCTAATAAAATTCATTTTTCTTATTCCATATTGATTTTAAGTAAAAGGGATTATATGGAAGCCTCTTATAAAACTGTAGACCTAAAGAAATAATAATTACACATTTTCTCAGCCTTTTGACTAAGATTAAGTGTAGTACTAAATTTTTTTAGGTCGGCCTTTTGGCTAACCTTTCTTGGTTTTTTGGTTAAGATCAAGTGTAGTACTACTTTCTCAGCCTTTTGCCTTTCAATATTTATTTATTAATATAAAAAAAGGAGTTTTTATAAACAAAAAATTACCTAAAAATTATTTAAAGAGTTTCATTCAAATAAAAAATTACTTAATAAAATTTATAAAAATTAATTTAAAGAGTTTAATTCAAATTATAAATTACCTAATAAAATTCATTTTTCTTGTCCCACATTGGTTTTAAGTAAAAATGATTATATGGAAGCTTCTTATAAAAAACTATAGACCTAAAGAAATAATAATCACACATTTCTCAGCCTTTTGGCTTTCAGTATTTTTCAGCCTTTTCGGCATTTTGGCTAAACTTTCTTAGTCTTTTGGTTAAGATCAAGTGTAGTTACTTTCTCGGCCTTTTGGCTTTCAGTATTTATTTATTAATATAAAAAAGAGTCTTTATAAATAAAAAAATTACCTAAAAATTATTTTAAAAGTTTAATTCAAATTACAAATTTCCTAATAAAATTTATAAAAAATAATTTAAAGAGTTTAATTCAAATTACAAATTACCTAATAAAATTCATTTTTGCTGTCCCACATTAGTTTTAAGTAAAAAAAAGATTATATGGAAGCTTTTTATAAAAGTATACACCTAAATAAATAATAATTACACATTTTTCGCCTTTTGACTAAGATGTAGTACTAAATTTTTTTGGGTAGGCCTTTTGGCTAACTTTTCTTAGTTTTTTGGCTAAGATCAAGTGTAGTACTACTTTCTCGGCTTTTTAGCTTTCAGTATTTATTTATTAATATAAAAAAAGAGTTTTTATAAACAAAAATTTACCTAAAAACTATTTTAAAAGGTTTAATTCAAATTACAAATTACCTAATAAAATTTAATTTTCTTGTCCCACATTGGTTTTAAGTAAAAATGATTATATGAAAGCCTCTTATAAAAAAATCATAGACCTAAAGAAATAATAATCACACCTTTCTCGGCCTTTTGGCTAACCTTTCTTGATCTTTTGGTTAAGATCAAGTGTAGTACTACTTTCTCGGCCTTTTGGCTTTCAATATTTATTTATTATTATTTTACATTTTCTGATTTTCCCACAAAACAATTTTGCATAGAATTGTCCATCCAAATAAAGAAAAATTTGGTAGAGAACCATTTAAAAGTTACATCAATCGGATTCTTAAATTAAGTCATAGGATAAATGCCATTTTCCAACGGATAGGTAAGACTAAATGGATTGGTAAGAGAGAGATTGCATAATTAATGACTTACATAATAACTTTGATTTTCAGTTAAAAATATTTTTAGAAGCCAAACACCAAAAACGTAAAATAATTTTACGAATAAAATATTTTCTTTACGTCCAAATAAACGGAGCCTTATTGTAACTTCTTTTACATTATATATACACTATTTGAATTAAACTATTTGTAGAAAGAGAACATGTTTTTTTGTTTTATTTATTTAATTATTTTTTGTTTTATTTATTTAATTATTTTACAAGATAATTTATATATGAATGGGTCCAGAGAAAACATAAATAACAAGTTTGATTTTCGGTGCAAAAGATCAAAAATTCAATGGTGCTGAAAAGTCAAACTTTAAGACATAATAGGAAAATCTACAATGTCCTTTGAGGGATTAAATTTTAGTATATTTCTTAATTTTCCTTGATTGTGTTTTACATTTTTATATTCAATTATATATTGAGAAGTTATATTTTGTTGCACAACCTGCAGAAAACAAATTATTCTTTCGAAGCAACAATAGAAAATGTCGTCAATAATCGCGAACCATGATATAACGCATATGAGAAATGTAACAAGAAAATTAAAGTTGAAAAAGATAGAGTATACTATCATCGATGCAATACAACAGACCCAAAATGCTTTCAAAAGTATTATTACATCTTAAAATCTTATTATTGTATTTATTTCAATGGTTTAATAATATTACAAATACATAATTATTTGTCTTTACTCATGTGCAGATTCATGATGATAATTAAAGTGCGAAGTATGGAACACTTGCAACCCTAACAGTGTTCAATAATTGTTAAACATTAATAAATTGTTCACTTGATGATTTTACTACAATTACAAATTGAGGTAATTTTCTACCCTTATTCATAAAATTTTAATTAAATTATAAAATATATATTTACTGACAAGCTGCAAAGGAAAATCAATTATTTACTGACAAGCTGCAAAGGAAAATCTTTTCTTTTTCTATTCAAGATAGACAATACTCAACAACAAGTCGTGAAAACTTATTTTGCAGTGGATGAATTAAAAGAATTGACACTTGACAATGATTCATTACATGAAAAAATGAGATATGCAAAAAAAAAATAAAGATTGAGAAATAAATAATTTAGGAAAACTTTTATTTTCAAATAGTTATAGTTTTGGATTTTTTTATATATTTTGTTTCTTTTGAGGTGACAATTATTACAATCTAAAAATTGTTGGTATCTTTTCGGATTTTATAATACATAAAATTTTTATATAGTATTTATTTATGAATATTTTGTAAATTATAGAATTTTTTTTTCATATATTTTTTAAAATGTTTATAGATTTCATTCATACATCAATGAAAAACTTTATTTTGTTTCTTTTAAGGTGACAATTATTACTCTCTAAGGCATTATAGGCCTGAAATTGTTTTGCCTATTTTGTTTATAAAATTATAAATAATTAAAATGTATGAAAATATACATTATATAAGTTAGATAACATTCATCATGTGGATCGCACGTGCCTTTTACTAGTATTATTAAGAATCTAAGGTAACACAAAATCTACCATTAAATACAAAAATAAATACACTTAAATGGGACTAATAATATTTTTCAATTTTATCAAACAAACATCCTTCTTTCACGCTTGTCCTCCCATCAACTTTGAATAGGAGAACAAGTATAACAAACAACTGAACAAAGACTATACATATTTTTTTAGGTAGGCGCTATTGGCATTCTACTTTTTTACGTTTACCCTATAATCTTAAATGAAATGACAATTACAAATAAAGAATTATTACTTTTTAAATGGCATAAATGTCCTTTCAGATTTTCTCTCCATATAAAAATAAAAATAAAAAAATTGAATAATATTTTATTTCCATGAACAAAGAAATTTTTTTATGTTTAATAAATTGTTTCTTTTGACCGGACCAAAAATAAAAAAAGTAACCATTAAAATAATTATTTCTTTTGACTGGAAAAAAAAAAAACCATAAAAAAAAATATTTATTGAAGAAATTATCTTTTTTGTGAAGATAACAAAAAGTACCAAAAAAAGAGGATTAAAAACAATATATATATATATATATATATATATATATATATATATATATATATATATATTGAATAAATTATTACTTTTGATGGGACCATAAAAAATCACACAAAAAAAAAAGGTTACCTCTTTTAACATGACTGAAAAAAAATAAATAAATAAAAAAAGTCAACTTTGTTGAATAAATTATTTGTTATGATTGCACCAAAAAAAAGTCATCAATAAATTATCTCTTTTGACAGCCAAAAATAAAATTATCAATATGGAATAAATTACCTTCTTTGAGAAGACCTCCGAAAAGAAAATAGGTAGGTAATTTTTTTTTTTAATTTGCATAAAGGGTAGTTATGGCATTATAAAATAAGGCATGGTGCATAAATGAATTGAAGGACCTTTTTGTCATTTTTTTTTTAAAAAAAAGATAAGTGTAGTACAATTGGAAAGAAGTGGGGTGCGAATATCGCCTCCTTTTTTTTTTTTTTTTATCTTGAGATATATTTCTTCTTTATTTTTTTTGAGAGAAAAATAAATAAATTACTTTAGAAGGTATAAGATCATGCACCGAATTAAGGAGGAGCTAGGGGCAATTCCCCTGAATGTTTTTTTAATAGTTTTTTCTATTTTAATTATACAACTATAAAATTTTAATATTGTCCCCTAAAATTACAAAAAAAAAAAAAATACTTTTGCCCCCCTCACACAATTTCTTAGATCCATCCCGAGAATAATTTTATTTTATTTTTTATTATTTTTTTTATCTTTTGTCTTTTTATTGTTGTTGCATTGATATAGTATAATTATATAATAACAAGGTGCTGTTTGAAAACTCAATTTAATGTTTAATGTTAAAAATTCAAAAAAATTTAAAAAATATATATATATTTTTATTATCAATTAAAAATTCTCTTCGAATTTTCAATACTTAATTTTCATTTTATCTAACAACACCTAAAAATTATATTTATGTTGGACGCTACTATTAAAAATGAGTATAATTTTATTTAGTTAATAAGTGGAGTTAATAATACGTGATTGAGTTAAAATAAGGAGTCCGGTTATTTATTTGTTATAAAAATAAAAAAAAATTTCTTTATTTACAAACACACAAAATTGAAAAGGTGAAGAAATATTGATAGATTATAACATTTTCGTAAAAAAAAAATTAAAATATATAAATAAAATTACAAGGGCAAATATGTAATTTTAAATAGTGATCATTCACCTACTCAGAGCAGACATGTGTAATGAGGTGGAAACCTGTCACTTCTCCTCACGGAATACGGAGAATAGAGCAATGTCGTCCCAACTTTAACGCCGTTAAATGAAAATTCCTGGTCAAAGTCTACCTTCAACGCGGTTATATCGACGGCTACAACACGTCTTTCTTCAACGTCTATTCCTCTGAAGCAGATCGATCAGCTAGCAATTCCTTATCAGAGCAGAGTAGAGCACAATAATCGTCGAGAAACACTCCATGTCCAACCCGTGAAAAGCGTGGAGTTTGTTGATTTCATCGCCGATTAATCATCTGATTCTCTTCATAGTAGAGGTCGTCTTCGCTTTTTTTAGCTTGCTTTGTAAGAATCTCCTCTTCCCTATGCTCTTCCTTTTTTTTCTCAATTTTCTACAATTCAATCTCCAATAGATATATAAATCACCCTAATTGCTCCAGAAACATTCGTCATGTTATTGCCATTGGTGCTCAAACTTCAAAATCGCTAGCTTTTCCATCTGAAAATTTTGGTTGTAAATTTCTGTTGAATCTCTAGGGTTTCAATTTATTAGCCTTTTCTGGTTTGATAATTGGGTATGTCGGATTATATGGCCGTTTCTGTACAATCATGACTTAACATATGATGACCCTTTAGCTAGATTCAATTAAAAATTGAATCTTTTGACTCTAAATTCATTATATTTCACTAGTAAAAATGGCGTCGGCCGGTGTCGCAATCAGTCAAATTCCAAATGATACTGTACTTTCACCTCGTTACATACCTGACCTGCTATCGACCGAATCCATTTGGATTTGTGTGGCAATGTCGGGTTCCATGATTCCAATGCGGGTTTTGGAGTCTGATTCTATTGAGTCTGTGAAACTTAAAATTCAGTCCTATAAGGGGTTTGTTGTGAAGAAGCAGAAGTTGGTATGTGGAGGCCGAGAACTGGCCCGGAGCAATTCTCTCATTCGGGACTATGGTGTTGCTGATGGGAATATTCTACATTTGGTTCTCCGGCTTTCTGATCTCCAGGTCATCAATGTTACCACGTCGTGTGGTAAAGAATTCAAGTTCCATGTTGAAAGGTGTAGAGATATTGGGTATGTCAAACGGCAGGTCGCTAAAAAGAAGAATGGTTTAGTTGATATTGATGATCAGGAAGTATTATGTGAGGGCGAGCGGCTTGAGGATCAGAGGCTTGTTAATGATATCTGTAAAAGTGATGATGCTGTGATTCATTTGTTTGTTCGGAGATCTGCTAAAATAAGGCCTAAACCTGTTGAGAAAAATTTTGAATTGTCTATTGTGGCATCCCAATTGAATGATCAGACAGATGACAAAGTGATTAGAGAAAGTGAGTGTGGGACTGATATGGAGAACATCCTTGTACCTAGAAAACCTCCGGACATAAATTCCTGGATTAAACCTGTAATAGTTAATCCAAAGATTGAAATACCATCAGTGATTTGGGATTTGGTTAACTCTACAGCTGAAGGGTTAGATAGAGGGAACTATCCAATCAGGTCTGCTGAGGGTACAGGAGGAGTATATTTCATGTTGGATGCATCAGGAAACAAGTATGTCTCGGTTTTTAAGCCGATTGATGAGGAGCCTATGGCTGTGAACAATCCCCGAGGCCTGCCCGTGTCAGTGGATGGGGAAGGAATAAAGAAGGGTACCAGAGTTGAAGAAGGTGCATTAAGGGAAGTTGCTGCCTACATTTTGGATCATCCAAAGAGTGGGCGCCGCTCATTTTCCAGCGAGGAGAAGGGTTTTGCGGGGGTCCCCTCTACAGTGATGGTCAAGTGCTTCCACACAGGGTTTAATCATCCAGGAGGTTTAACTGTCAAGATTGGATCATTGCAAATGTTCATGAAAAACTATGGAAGTTGTGAGGATATGGGTCCTGGCACTTTTCCGGTGGAGGAGGTACATAAGATCTCTGTGTTGGATATGAGGATTGCAAATGCAGATAGGCATGCTGGGAACATTTTGGTGAGCAAAGATGGGGCAGATGGCCGGACTGTGCTGATTCCAATTGATCATGGTTACTGCTTGCCTGAGAGTGTAAGTGTTATTGTTCTTAATTTTTGCTTCTTGCATTTATTGCAACTTCATGCATGTTATATAACTCCCGCTAATATGTGCACCCTCCAACACCAAACACACCCCCCCCCCCCCCCCCCCCCCAAAAAAAAAAAAAGTTTTTAAGGTAGTCATGTCATTTGAGTTGCTTTTTGTATTTCTTGCTACTACTTAAGGCCAAGCTTTAGTGGTTCAATTCTTTTTTGGATATTAAGCCATTTTGATGCTTTGAAGTTGAACAAATGATAGAGAATGCACTTAAATGGTAACAAGGTGCAAGCTTTATATACATATATATGATAATAATAATTATTGTTATTACTTTACTTAACCACTTGTGTTATGAATAGTTTTTTTATTTTTTTCCCCTTGAATGGGTTGATTTTTTTTTGTTGAAACAAATATATACAATGATGGCACAAAACTAGAACAGCGATCATCAGAGAGGATCACTAAAGAGAAATAGAAAACACAAATGGAAGTGGCATGCCCTAGAACCAAAAGACCAGTCCAGAATGACAGTGACAAAAAAGATACATAAAGTCTAAATCTGAAATAGTTAGACCAGCAGCAAATAGACCCTCATGACAAGCGTCCATGGCCAGCTTGTGTGGACTGTGAGCACCTCCATCATCTCTGCCATGGAATCTTTTGTTTCTTTCATTCCATAAGCTCCAAAGGATTCAAGTGAATAGGCATTTCATAAGAGTGCTTTTCAAGGACTGACCTTTGGTATGTTCAACGAACCAATTCAGCATGTCAGAGAAATGATGATACATAATAATCTCTTCCCAGTGACAAGTTTGCACGAACCAGTTCCACACCTCTTTGGCATATGGGCAACACCAGAAGAGGTCATCTCTAGAATCAGAATCAGAAAAACAATTGTGACATATGGCTGGTCCAATGTAACCCCTCTTTCGATTAAAGAGGAAAGGAATTGCATTTTGGAGAATAAGCGTGGATTGTAGGGAAATCCTGGGTCTGCATTTGTTCCACACAAGCTTATACCATAAGACAGGTTCATAATTGTCTCTACAAGCATTCCAAACTGTCTTGAAGGAGTACTTACCATTCTTCCATAAAAGGCAATTATCTGATTCAGAAATAGGAAGTTGAGCAAGGAATTTATTAATCTCAGCAGGCCAGTCAGTAGGAGTGTTCCGTCCATTAGGAGATCTAAGAACAGATAAGGAGGCAGAAAGAGGAAATCCAGCAGGAAGAAGTCTTCTCAAACCAATGCAATGCTGCAAGGATTTGCCCTGAAACCATGGATCATAATAAAGGCTAAAACTAGTTCCATTTCCAATGGAAAAATTGATATGTTGTAGGAGAAATTCTCTGGAATTAAGTATTGTTATCCAGATGGCAGAGTCAAGAGCCTTGGCATTAAGGGTCCAGAAATGAGCATTTTTAACATATTTATCCCTAAACCACTTAATCCAAAGTTCTTCCTTAGTGTGTTATGAATAGATTATATGAGAGGCACCAATGGGAGGGTGCAAACGTGTAGCGTGAGGCACTCAAGCCCAAGGGAAAAACAAGCAAGAATGAAATGGAAGGAAACCTGACTACCCTCAACAACATAACCAAAATATTTCATTTCTAGCATGTCCACAAGAGAAACTTCCATGTACAGACTTCACTTGCAAGAATTGAGAGGATAACAACTTCAAGAGACAGCTTCTTAGATGGAACAAACTTGATTCTTTCTACCGCCAAATCCTCGTATGTTCTCTTCTCCTTTCAGGAGAAAGACAAAGCAATCGTCCTTCAACTGGCCAATTTTCTTCTAGGAGTAAGAGATGTATGCCACCTTAGAAGAATCCGAGTATGGGGATCCTGACAAACCCTGGTCACCTTTCACAGTAACTTTCTGTAGAGGTACCCCATGAAAATTCCCTGCATTCCTAAGAAAATCAATCACCCTTTAAGCTACCATTCTTCCTCCACTGGAGGTTTTATTAATAGCTGCTTCTTTCCGCTGTTAGTTTATGGTCTTTCCATGCTATAATCCCATGCTTCAATAGGATATTAGGAACATCCATAGTATGTCTCATGACAAATGCACTAGTATCTGTAGCTCAAAGTTGAAATCCTTCTTATCTTATATACGTACATGCATAGCTGTCCACAAGGGGACTTGAGCCAATGACACTAAGGTTAGGAGTCCAACCAGATACCTCCTGGGCATACTAGGTCAATGGTTGATTGCTTAATTTAATATTTGTCCAAAAATATATGACAGAAGTAGTCGTTGATTACTTCATTACTTTCTAAGGCTGTATGTTTGTTGAATGTTATGCTTTCATCAATTCTTGACGTTTTTCTGTCAACACTGCAGTTTGAAGATTGCACATTTGACTGGCTCTACTGGCCACAAGCTCGTCAGCCTTACAGCTCGGACACCATCGAGTACATAAAATCACTAGATGCCGAAGCAGACATTGCCCTCTTAAAGTTCTATGGGTGGGACCTTCCTCTTGAATGTGCCCGCACACTCCGTATCTCCACCATGCTACTGAAGAAAGGGGCAGAGAGAGGGTTCACTCCTTTTGCAATAGGAAGTATCATGTGCAGAGGGACCCTGAATAAGAAATCAGCGATTGAGGAAATCGTTGAAGTAGCACTGGATTCTATGCTCCCAGGCACAAGTGAAGCGGCATTCCTTGAAGCTGTCTCAGGGATCATGGATAACCATCTTGATAAGATTGCCAAATGACGTATGGAGAAACTCGATGAATGGATGTCTATATGCACATAAATCATCGTACATACGTATATACTTCAATTCCCAGAATTTATTTGATTTTTTGTTATTCCCATATCCTTTCAGCAGTTAAACCTGGAAATTGCTTTGAGAGGTTGAACAATCAATTGATTGACCTCTTAATTCATTTGTCGAATTCTTTTTTTATTTTTTATTTTTTATTTTTTTTTATGGTTCCTTAGCATATACACTTATAGATTATATTTTTAAGACATAATATCCATCATAACATGTACTTCTGATATCAGCGGTTGCAAGGGAGAGACTAGATTTATTAGTCCCTGTTCCAAGTAGCTGCTAGTTCTTGTGTTCTTATCAATCATAGGGTCCGCGTAACTAAATTTTCAACTGGTGCTCCTTGCACATTGTTGTACTTACACCACCTTATTACTCGTTTCAGTAATTGCTGATAGGAACATGATTATTTCCTAGTAACTAAAGTTGGTGGGTTGTTTTTCCTGCGAGGGTCTTTTTGGCTTGAGTCTGCTTCCCAGTGGTGACAAGGCTTAGCCCGGTGTGGTCGATGGTCACCCAAAGCATGACATGTCGGGCAGGGAAGCCAAAGAAATGGAAGTCGATGAAATGGACGTAGAAAACATAGTAGCCTGTCCTGAGGATCTCTCTGGCAAGGAGATGTCCATTCATATGAGGGCCACATACTCCTTCATGCTTGAATGCAGGACCTTCAGTTAAATTGAAGTTGGTTAATCAGGACCATGATCTAGTACTTATGTCTGAATGCATCAAAGCAGGTATAGGCTCTACGCAGTCCCATTCACATTACTGTGGGTTGGTCCCAAAATTGCTAGGCATCACGCGGGATGTGGCAACATCACAATTTTTTGATAGCCCTTGCTCGATAGTGGAATCTAATTATGCTCTTGAACTCAAGAAATTAGACCTTACCATTGTTGCAGTCTTCTTTGAACTCAAGAAATTAGACATTTGCTAAGTGTCCAAACCATTCACCTTTTCATAATGTGTTACATTATTATCCTTTTTTTTTTTTTTTTTTTGGAATTAGGCTCTGTTTAGGGGTCACTAGATTTTTTTTTTACAATTTAGAAGAGATTGTTGAATTTTAAGGACTCTTTGAAAGTTTAGGAGTCCTTTTTGGCATTGTGTAGTTCTCTTGAGCTTAGCTCCCTTTTTGAGTACTTCTATACAATTGTCTTATTTATCAAAATATCTTATCAAAAATAAATAAATAAATGATCCCATTCACAACTTAAATTGATGAAGTCATTCTCAAAAATATGGAACACCATTAATCTTATTTCCTCACTTGGTCAATTTGCTCTTAAAACTATCAAATTCACGATATTAAACATCGAATCTACCATGACTGTTACTTTTTAATATAGATAAATATAGTTGATGAATTTCTACCTTAAAAAGATTTTCTTAGAATCATTAAATTTCACTCAAACTATTCCCAATAATCACCAAGTTTAGAATTGCTTGCTTAGGTTCAATCTTCATCTACCACAGAGGAGGAAGCTTCAAGCTTCGGTGGGAAAGCTTCTGTAAGAAGGTACTCACAGTTGGCAGACAATCTAAAAATTCCTCTAAATACCAAAAAAAGATCCATACATTTATGTTTCACACAATCATATCATATGCACAGAATTGTCAGCAACTAGCAGTATTAGATATAGCAGAAGAGACTAGGAGATGACGAAGTTTCAGCAAGTTGATAAGTCGCCTCAATATACAGCCACTTTTGCTTGTGGAAGTGAACATCAACAGCATCTCCAACACCGAAGTAGGGAATACAAAAATGTTAAAACCTTGTGGATATGAAGCTCCTCAATGGCCTATTTTCTTCAATCCATGTTTCCCAAGAACAGGATGTAAGCATCACCTGCGAGAATACAAAAACTTGACTTGTTAATATCTTGGTCACTGAAAATACCTGATAATTTTTTTGCATAATAGCTGAAACAGAGCATAAGGTGGCCGTTTCATGGCTTCCAATATCATGTAATGCATGAGGTTCATTCCATCAATATGTCAGCTAATTCAACCCAACAAAGCTTTAGTATACAACTATTCAGTGTTTGCAACACAAATCCATTTTGCTGTTCAGCTTTATCTACGTCCTGGATACCATACATGCTATTTGAATCATGAAGAATTTGATCATGATTAATTTATTCATTCTCGTCATACACAAACATAATTAGCCTAATTACCTAATTCCAACAACAATGAATTATTTTGCAAACCTTGCTAGGATGAGTAAATATTCATAATTTTATCTTATCATATCAAAAGTAGTTGTGAACTCCTTTGATTAGAATGTGGAATTAAATGACAGCATCATTCCTATTGTGATCGTGTTGAAATCATGTATAGGCCCAAGTCCTTGTCAATATTTAACATGTTTCCTTTGCCCCTGCACAACCTTTTTAACAATGAAATTTAATTGCAAAAAATGACTTACGATCCCTAAGCAAACATGTAAGCATTAATAATCCCACAAAAATTATATATATTACATATATATAATTGTCTTTTTAGTTTTTGACAAAAGATAATAATAAAAACTCCCAACTCCTATCCTCTCCTTTATAGTCATGCAAGCACTTATTGTTATGCTACAACAGCTTCAACATGTAAATTAATAGAGATATAATAGCAAAATTTGAGGTGCAACTGTCATGAAAATTGAATTAAGAATTTGTTGTCGTAACTAAGTTGGCCTAGTATTTTGAAGAGAGAGTTCTCTACAAATTGAGATACTACTGACGAATTGAAAAGCAGGCATGGTCATGAAGAGTAAGGTTGAAAGGATTTCAGAATTAGAGGCATAACAGCAAGCATATCAAGGCAAGAGTTTTCCCCCTTTTATTTTAGGTAATAATATTTTTGTGTTGATAGTGCAGCACTCAAGGGCCTTATGTACGTATAGGGTTGACGGCAATTGGTAATACCTGCAATAGAAGTTAACCAACGAGTCTACCTTTAAGTAGTATGATTCAGGGCTTGGTAGGCTTTTTCAGCTTCCGCTTTGACTTTCTTCTGAAAAAGACAAAGAACAGAAAAAAAGATAATAATTTGCTTAGGTAATTGCCACGAAGCACTGATAAATAATTCATAATTGTTGCTTCTTTCAACCATGTAAGATAAACTGAAACATGACCATCTTTCATGGCCACATTTTGCGGAAGGTCTTCATCCAAAAGTTACCTTTTAGTAGGTTTTCTGGCACCAAATACACCCTTCATTAATGTGTTTATATCCACCGAGCGTTCCTGCATGATTTTATCATGGTATATCTTGCTCCCAATCTCACTAATTTGTTCTTCCACTTCTTCCAGTGTCTTGTCCACATTAAGTGGCAGCTCCCCTTTCCTGATGACTGTTACACTAAAACCATTTGCTTTGGCTTCCCGGAAAGCATCCTATAGAAGGTTAACAACTGTTCAGAAGGAAATTACAAGGTTCTCATTTCAAGAAGGAATTGAGGTTCTCAACTATCCATACACATAATAGAAAATGAGTCAAAAACACGAAATAGTCAATTTGGTGCATTAATTACAAGAATTACAGGTGAAAGGAAAGAGGGACCTCCAATATGGTGGGCCATTTTATTAGTCTTTTGCGCCAAATTTTCAGTAATAAGATCATGGAATGTGTCTGTTAGGACTGCTGCAAAATTACTGAAAGAGGTGCAGAAGAGGAGGTATTATTTGATAACTAATCTGGTCATTCTGGCCCAAACAATCTTACATAATAGAAGATAAAGGACGGTCCTATTCTCTTGTTTCAGAAAAGCATATTTCATATATTCAATTAGGGATATCCTGTGTGCATCTGTAGTATCAAAGTAGCAGACGATTCACTTACTATAGTATAGCTACACCTATGCCAATTTTAAAAGATTTCTTAAACAGTTCACTATAGGAAAATAATATATTAGGGTTATTTTGGTTTGTTGATTACTCTGACCATGTCAAGGATTCAAGATAATGGCTGCAAAAAGTAAAATGACTGAGCATTCAAAACAAAAACTGGGAAGACCTAGCAATAAAGAAACATAACTATTTATTACCTTTGGCAGTCGTGCGACAACAAATGCATTGCCGTATCCTAGCACTTCCATATGAGTCTGTATAATACAGCAAAGATTTTTTGAATCACCAGGGTCCTCAAAAGCAATCACGTGATACGGTTTTGGATCCAATTCAAGATCTTTTGCCATCTCTAATGAATAAAAACCTGTTTTCTGCTCCCCATTTTCATGCGTGTATAATTCGATACACTGGAAAATAGAAAGTAGGCACAGAATTCATTCAGCAATTAATATATAGTAACTAAGTTGCACAAATCACTTATAAATGGGAAAATAAAATACATTGAGATTTTCAAATGATATACATCATATGAAAGAGAATTCTAAACACAGCCAATGACTCAACAAGCAACCACACAAAGATCTATTTGCATAGAAAAGCTATATATCAAGAAGATCATTAATCTTCAGAAGATATGAATTGAAAATAGATTTGTGCTATACCAGCCGACTCAGCATATCATTTTTCTGAAAACATAGAACCAAAAAAAATGCAGCCCAATCAAAATAAAATTATCTGACACCATTATCTTCTAAAATTGAAGAATTGGGTCAACATTGCAGAGGAGACGGGATAAACACTTACCAGTACAAAGGGAAGATCTAGCCACCACAAATAATCTTTTTCTTTTTCTTCTGCATATTCTTGGTACTTGCTCATGACAGCTTGTGGGCCAAACAATTCCATTTCTCTTTTGACCTTATTGAGTTTCTGTTCAATGAATTTTTTCCCCCTCTCAGGTAGTTTAGTCATCAGATCAGCTGCTTCCTGTATTTCTTTCTCTGTAATCCATCTATCCAAATCCTTCCCTATATCCTTCATGACAGCCTTAGTTTCAGGGTCCGTCTCTGCACTATAAGACTCCAGGAACCCTCGGGACCATTTCTTTGTATGCTGCCAGTATTCTTTTCCTGATTTTTTTCCAGTTCTTACAGAACCATCACTGGATTCTATGACTGTCTTTGGACTTCTTGAATCTCCATCCTGAATTTTTGTATTTTGATTATAAACCGTTGAGGTAGTGGGAATATTTTCATGGATTGGAGATTCTTTTGATTTCTGAAGCGAATCATGGCTGTCCCTAACAAGGTATGAATTGCTGAGGTTTTCAGCGACAGGAGCCTTCCTTTGTTCCGCAGAATTATTGAGGAACTCAAGATTTTTATATACCTGGGGATCTTTCCAGCGGGGTATAATTTTATCTGGTGAGTCATACACACTAATGCCATCTACAGGAAATGCAAGGAATTTGATTAACATCACAACTTTGAAAACTTTAAATGACATGTTATAGTATCCCTATAATTACTCAATAACAACCTACAATATTCAAGCACCATTTCATCAATCAAGTCTGAGAATTTTTAATGAAAAAATATAAATAGAAGTGCAGGGGAACAAAATCAACCATGTGTACGATAAAACCTAAGAAAATATCAATCTATTTGGTGCTGCTCTATTTTTTCATAAATATCAGTTACGACAAGCTCACATTCCAACAGGAACTTGAACTCTTCACCTCTTCCTTTGGAATGGCAAGAGATACCACTCAAGCCAACGGCTGGTGTCTAGTATGCTGCCATATATTTGAATTTCATATTTTAATATATTAAAAAGACAAATTATCCGGTTTTGGTCCCGCTACAACAGGATCTTGGGTGGGAGGACTTGAGACAGACCTGACTTTCGTTTTTTCACAAAGTGGCTGCTTTGAGGCACAAACTCGCTCCAATAGAACTGATTTTCTAGCAGTAAACTGGTGAATCAGGCAATGATCCTCATTTTATATATTAAAAAAAAATAATTAAAAAATAAAATTAAAAAATTAAAAAAATAATTAAAAAAATCACTCCTTTTATCAGAAATAAACAGTGAATCAAAAGAAAGCCAAAGGAAATCAAGTACCTGCTCCATAATCAAGGTTTTCAATGTTAGAATGGAGCCATTCATGCAGATTCAACAGTTTGTCACTCTCTTTCTCAACTTTCCTCTCAAGGCCCTCAAAGAACATAAGTTTATCTTCGTCATCGATCAGATAAAATGGATCACGCCCCGCTAGCTCATTTTCTCGGACTTGAAATACTATTTCTCTAAGCTTATCATCTTTCATCCACTCAAGTTCGCCATCATCTTCATCAAACCTAGGCTGTATCATCTCAGAATTTAAGTTCAACTCTTGCTTAACTTTATCTCTTGCAACCATGTAATTATCTCTAAACCCAACTCCAATTTTCTTCATTACTGGCTCAAAGTCGTGGAAATTTTTTTCAATCCAGTTCTCACTCACTGATGGTACAGTTTCAGTACTTTTGCCATTGCTTTCACGATCTAAGGAAGTTCCAGGATTTTGATGGTCAACCATTTCATATCCTTCCTCAACATCTTCAGGATCACTGTTCGTGGTCGAAGTAGATGCCTTTGTCTTCAGACTGGAATCTCCGCATGCAATTGCAGCAGATCTAGAATTCAATGGCCCACCTAAAATTGCATGTTGGAACGGTCTGTTGTCCTTGTCCATTTCCTGGATTGTGTTGCTAACTGTGTCTCTTTCTCTTGGTAATGCTAAAACAGAGTGTTCATTCTCTGTAATGCCACAATCGCCTTTATGACCTACAGCTCTGGCCTTTTGAAGATCAGTCACGCTATATTCTGCATCAGCAGCTTCAAAATCATTAATTTTGGTCGTAACATATTCCTTCAGACTAGAATCCTCGCAAACATTTGTAACAGGTGTTAGATCTGATGTCTCAGCTAAATTGGAAGGGTCAAATACTTTGTCATCCTTGGCTGATATCTGGCTTGTGTCTCCATCTGTCGCTTTTTCATTTGGTAGACTTGAAACAGTGTCACCTTCTTGCATGGTTTTAACTTGGGCTTCTTGGTTCAGTTCTCGTTTGTAGCTTTTTTGAGAGAGAAACTTCCTAGCTTCCTTAACTGACCGTATGATCCTTGGTTTTCTTCTGATGGAACTTTTCCCCAGCTTTTGACTGTTAGCCGTATCAAAGGATGGGTTCACTTTGATCATATTTGACAAATTTAAACCACCCTCTCTATCTTTCACATTTTGTGTAGTGCTTTCACCATCATTTGAAACTTTCATGTTTGAACTATCAGAAAGACTAATCACCCTGTATCCTGCACCAGCATCTTCGATATCATTATTTTGGGTTGGAGCAGATTCTTTTCTCTTAAGAGTAGGATCTTCACAAAGATTTGTGGCAGGGGTAAAATCTGATGTCCCATGCAGATTGGAAGGGTCAAACACTTTGTCATCCTTGTCCAATCTCTGGGTTGTGTCATGATCCGTCTCTTTCTCAGTTGGTAGAATTGAAATAGAGGCATCTTCTTGCACAGTTCGAAATTGGGCCTTTCCTTCTGGCTCTTGATTCTCATGCGTTTGAGAGAGGAACTTCTTAGTTTCTTCAACCAAACATATGACCCTTTGTTTTCTTACAGAATTTTTCTTTGGCTTGCATAATTGAGTGTTAAGAGTATCAAAGGGTTGGCTCACTTTCACTGTCTCTGATAGCTTTAGATCATTCTCTCTATCTTTCACATCTTGTGTAATGCTTTGACTATCATTTGGAACTTTCTCTCTACAAGTATCAGAATTTTGCATATTACTATTATCTACTATTTCACTAATATCATCACTTTTTGGATTGTTGAAAGAAGTGGACACTGAGGTCCCATTAAGACCTCTTGTTTTGCCTGAATATCCATTAGAAATGTCATTCAGAGAACTCACAACCTCTTCTCCATGCTGTTTGACCACATCCTTTTCATTGGACAACTCACTCACAGTTTGATCATCTTCATTGTTATCACTTGGTGAAGGATCTCCCCTCTCGATCTCACGTGCACGCCTTGCCATTGCTCTGATTTCCTTAACTTTATTATTGAAATCCATAGATTCTGTAGTTCGAGTACTAGAAAATTCATCTGATGCCAATTTATCATCTGATGTATTTGCTCCCAGAATGCTATTCTGAAGTTCTTCCTTATCAAGCTTAGGCCTGTCAGCAGACACCATCTGTGGTTCCACAGAACCCTGAATAACTTCCACACTGCCCTTCACCAACTTCTCTTTCTCCATTCTTGATTTTAGTTTTCTCCTCATCATTTCTTTCTCCAACCCCGTGTACTCTGCCTTATCTTTCCCACCAGTAAACAATCTCTTTGTTGCCCAAAACATAACAAAACCGCACAACACTACTATCCAAATTCTCGAGAGCTTTGGAAATAAACCTTGCTGAAGAGTACCACTAACATCCCGAACTGCATTAACAAAACCAGATTGTCCATCTGAAACTACATACTTAGCCACCGAACTATTCTTGGAAAGCATGCTAGTCCCACTCTCTATTTCTCTAGCTAAATTTTTTGCATGAGAGATCTTTGATTTCACTTCTGTTAAGTCCTCAAATTCACTCTTCTTATACAACGAAGGCTCGATTCCTCTTCTTCTCAAGATTTCGTCCTCATTAACAACAGCCCTTTTGACATTACCATGTGAATCTTGAAAAATATAAAATATAGGACCAAACCCAATGCCCCAATCCTCCGAATCCTGTATAAACTGACGAGCCCAACCTTCCAATTCGTTCAATGGAACAGATTCACCCATTTTTAATTTGTTCACTACATCTTCAATACCCCCATAATTAGAACTATAATTAGCCTGTTTTACACTATCATGATCTGATTTATATTGAAAATTCTCGACATGATCAAAACTATGACCTGGGTTTTGAAAATCAGAATTTGGGTCATAAATTACCGGATTGGGACGCACCTGTTGTTGTTCAGTGAGCTTTTTTCTGAGCGAGTTTCTGCGATTCGTGGGTCGGCCGAAATGAGCTGAAATTCGGAAATTTCTGGATGTTGAGTATGGGAGAAGAAGAGGGATTTCGGAGTTGGGTCTGTTGAATCTAAGTGATTTTTTGTTTCTCCATGTTGTGATAGGAAATTTGGGAGTAAAAACTGAAACCCCAGAGAAAATTTGTGAGCTGCTTAGGGTTGTAGAGTTGAGAAGCTCCATGGACGAAGACGGAGCTCACCAGAAAGACGACAACCCAGCGGTTTTGGTTTTGAGTGAGAGAGATGTGCTTAAACCCTTGATAAAGCCTATTTTCGGGTTCTGTAGACGGGTAGCCAATAATCCCAGGTTAGAGGAATTTGGAATTCAAAAACAAAAAAGAAAAAAGAAATTGCAGTATCATATTTGTTCCAGAAATGGGGAGGAAAATATTAAAAAGGAGCTCATACTTTTAAAAACAAATAAATTTGTTAGAATGTTTTGTTCATACGGAATACTATTTTCTTTCTTAAGTTCCATTTTCTTTTCTTTTGCCTTATAAACTATTTAATATTTATACAAGAGAAATTACTTTCGTATTAGGAAAGTTGGCTTAATTCAATTTCCTATTATAAGTGAATTTTAAAATATATATATAGGTAAAGAAGAGGAACTTATTACAGAATTTGTTTGGCATTATGATTCAATTTTTCGAGATTTTTTAATAAAATTTAGAATTTGTAAAATAAAATAATAATAAAATGGTTTATGAAAAAATGAGTTAAAAAAAAGTCTAAATATCACAAAACAATAGTGTATAATTCTTTGAAAAATATTTTCCATTTTTAGAATTTTAGGATGACTTTTTATCTTGTTAGGAATTAAAAACCTTAATTGTGACCTTTATTTGATTTTAATGAAAAGAAAATGATAAGAGTAGTTCGAAAATTAGAACGTCCTTACTGGACATCATATTTACACAAGTGTAATCGTAATCGGACATGACTCTCAAACGCGGTTAATGAAATCTTAATGAAATAGGCTGATCAAATGTCTCATGTATAACTTTGTTTAAGTTTACAGTCTAATGATCACATACAAACATGAGGATTAAGTTTGAGTAGAAATGAGTTGGCAAAAGCGAAATTCTGTGAAAAAAACAATGTTCAAGTTTAAGCAAAATACATTATAAAAAAATAAAAATAAATAAAAACTTCTTTCTCGCCCCCAAACCATTCCCCCCAAAAACCCACAACCAAAACACAATTGACACGTTCAAACAGAAATGCCATACTTGAACGAAAATGAACTAAATACAACCGTTTTTCAGAGTACCAAATGGCACAATGAAGAGCCAAACAGAACTTGCATTACTCGAAGGAGCATAGCAGCACAAAATTGAAACATATTATAACCAGAATCATCACAGAGAAAGATCTTCATTACCAAGGAAAAAACCTTATTAACAATGTATAAGAAAAGCTACAACTTCCAGCTATTCAATTCGTATTTCAAGAATTCTCAAATGTATTCTAACCACTAATAACATTAGGAGCAAGTTCATCACACACGACAGAGAGCAATGGAAAGCAATACAACCCCCAACCAGTCTTTAACTGCAGAGGTTGGGTATGCATGCACCGCCATCTGGGTTTTGCTGTTCCTTCCATATTCGTCCTGTCACTCGGAGTTTCAGTTCTTTCCTGTCCCCTCCAGAGAAGAATAGTGCCATATTACGCTGTATAATAAGGCCATCATGGCTGTCTCTAACCTTCCTGTGGCTATCCCTTATGCTTCGTGGGGTGCCCTCAAAAATAAGTTTTCGGCCATTTCCCCCCACCTCCAAACTGTAACTGTAGTTTCGAGCCTCTGTCTCATCACCCATGAATCGCAGAAATGCCATATAAACAGGAGCCATTCCTAGCTGAAAAGCTTCAAAATGGAGGCAGAAGTAGTGACCGTAACAATTGAAAACCTAAATAAGGAAACAGAAAGGGAAAAAGTTTTAGAATATAATAAATATAGGCAATTTTGAGTATATGATCAACTAAAAAGTGTAATTAATGTTGAATTAACTCTCCTGCTGCCATTTATATTAAGAATGAAGTGCTCAACATTGATATACCTAATAACCATTAACAAAACCATGGTAGTACTTGCTGTTATTTGAACAAATGGCTTATTTGATGCATAGACCAAATTTTCAGGATGCTTTCATGTACTGTGACCCAACAAAAAGAATTTGGCTCACACTTGGAACATTTAAGTGAGCCCGGTGACCCAAAAGTAATACTTAGCTCCAACCCTACCAGGATGCCTTCATGTAAGCATTTATGTGACAAGTCTGCTGTATAATTTTACAGTTTTTTTTTTTTTTTTTTTTCAAAAAAGAAGAAGAAGAATAAGAAAAGGAACCGCTTTCTACTTGGATTAAACCATTCCGAAATCACTTAAACCATTTTTATGTGACTATTATATTACCATCAACTGTAGAGTGAGGCTATCTCCTTGTACGGTTGAAGATGAGTATTATTCATGACCCAGAGGACACTATTTTGTTCATTAAGAACCATCATATGTAAAAATTAGTATCATGGGCAAAACCAAAAAAAAACAAAAACAAAAAAGCAAAAAAAACAAAAAAACAAAAAGTACAACAAAAGAAAATAATACTCACAGTGAGCATCCACGTGGCATTTTCTACTTCACGTGGATTAGACTTGACATAACGATGGTTGAATGTGCATCCAGAGTGCATGTCCACCTTGTGTTCATCCCTCAGATGAGCAACCAGGTAAGGGATATCCCCAATAACCGAGCACTCTGATCCAGCATATGGACAGTTATATGGCCTAAAGTTACATATGGCCTCATGTTTGAGCTTGCTGTAGTAAGGAAATATCTCGGGGCATCCAAGGGAGCAATACTTGCAAGGCAATTCAAGTGATTCGGCTACCTTTTCTAATGCTAGACACCTTATATCACCAAGCTCCTGTCTACAAGTGGGACATCGGTTCTGTACCCTTGTTTTACAGGTGGAACAGAGTGTATGCCCATTGTGGCACTGCAAAAATCAGGACTTATAAGAATCAACATCTAATTTCTTTCAAATGGAATATAGTAATCAACAAGAATGCAATATTTGCATGTACTAGCTTAGGAGAAAAAAACATTTGTATGTACTAGTGAAATAGCAAAGGACAGTACTCGCATTGGTCATAAGGAATTAAAGATTCCCTAATTAGATCAAGCAAGATAACAGTTTTGTTGTATATACTTATAGAGAAATGGACAAGATTTGGGGACCAACCTCGTTCAAGGGCATTTGCAAGCCAAAATTGCCCTTAACTGCAAAGAACAACACCAAAAAGGGAGAATGCTGTCTTTGCAATGGAGGAGAAATGAAAGGAACAAAACTGTAGAGCGGATATTACGGGAAAACCACAGATCCAGTGTGCCCCGGAGCACCAATGAACATACATAGCAGGTGCATATATATATATTCGTATCATCCATATGTGTTTATGAATGTAACTCAACAGTAATTAAATATAGTATACTGCTTAAAAATTAGAGATGGTCAAAACCCAGTGGTTGCAAAGGGAGTATGAACAAGTGAGTCTTACCACAATCTTCCATATAACTAAAATCTAGAACTTTAAAAGAAGTTGTGATGAATAGGAAGGGCAATCAGTTCATGGTCAAATCTAGAGTTAATTTAATGGATTGGGGATAATTCTACACTCAGTCTGCTAAAACAGGGATGAAAAGCGCAGGGCCACCCCTAATAAAAAGTTGCAAAAATTGTTGGCCTACCAAAGCCAACTCATGACAAAACAAGAAGTAAAAGGATACTGAAACTTTCTAGAGCCACTATATCCTAAGCAATCCACAAATAATTTTTTTTAACATGGAACTGCCTTCTAGGGAGGGTGGGCCTTGACACAACGGTAAGGTTTGCTCCATTGTGACCTGGAGATCACGGGTTTGAAACCGGAAACAACCTCTCCATGTGGAGGTAAGGCTACATACATATGATCCTCCCCAAACCCTGCAATGGCGGAAGCCTCGTGCACTGGGCTAGCCCTTTTCTTTTGAACTGTCTTTTGGGGATACCACTGCAACTCTCTATGTATTAGTGCATTTCCCACCAAAATAGATATTAGAAAATCAATTATCCCATGAACCGCAATAGATGTTTCAGAGAGATTGATTTGCCTTCCACACTTTTCACCTCAATAAATCAATTATTTCCAATTCAAAGATGACTGCAACCCTACTTTCATCATAAGGCTTTCAACTTGACAGATAATACCTGTGAATCTAAAGGCCCTCTTATACCAGCCATAGATCTTCGATGTGGATGACTAAATCAAATTGGTTAGTTCTCCCTGATCTTTGTATAAAGTGAACATGACTATAAATAGATTAAGCTCGTTGCATCCTGTGTTATGCAGTTAAATATATACTATCACTTAACTAAGCACCATATAGGCATATACCACTATAATTTCAAAATTATGATATCTTAGCAAGAACTCAAGCTCACAATAACGTTTACAAGTTCATAAAAAAAACTTAGGTTATAACTTCTTTTTACAGTTATCTTAACCTACAAAGGAGAATTTTAGAGAAGAAACAATTCAGTATTCTCGACCAAGTATTGGTAAGGGCAAGACTGGCTGTCATTGGCTATTGCAACTTTTCTTTTTTTAGGTTCAGTAGGAAAACTCAGTCACTCTTCAACAACTTTATCCTGCACTAATACAATTCCTACATGTTTCCCATATGCTCCTTATATATGTCCTCAATTTTCCCACTAATAGAAAACCCATTTCTGATACTCACAATCATAATTTGCCACCAGAATTCAAACCCAGTAGATAAGTATAAGAAGAAGAATACAAGTTCCAGCAAAAAGTTATATACCAGGAAAACTGTCCTTTTTGAAACCACGGAGATCCATTCAAACAACCAGTATGAGCTATCAATAGTGCAACAACAAAATATTCACTCTCTCCAAACAATCATTTTCAGAAACTTTCAATTCAGAAATTGTGCAAGACTTCTTACCCAAAAAAGGGGGAAAATGTGAAAGAATTGACCTAAGTGCATAAAATTAATCAACCAAATTCCCCATAACCTAATCCAATTAAATCAACCAATCACCCAGAAATCCTAATCAATAATGCGAAAATAGAAACCTAATCAATAATTTTCAATATAATGCAGCAGCATTCTCCCTTAAATAGAAATCCCAAAGACAACCAAGTTCCTTACAAAAATCCAGAACCCCAATCGACCAATCAATTAATGAAGTAGAAGAAATAAGAGAATTGCAGAAACCAATCACCTAAATTGCAAATGGGTACCCAAAATCCAATCTTCCACATAAAACATTACGAATTCGACAATCCAACGGTAACGGAATTCAATTGAGTGAAAAAAAAGGTGAACCCATGCATTAAATTTGGAAAATTTCAGCAAACCTGGTGTATTGGAGGGTACATTGAATTGGTACAAACTGGGCATTCGAGAAGCTCATGGACACTTGTGGTTGGATGAATCGCCGCCATGGAGACAACGTTGTTGTGATTCTTCGAGGACGAAAACTGAGGATAATGATGTCGGATCTCATCCTCCTCCATGCCATCCGAGGATGATATGCATTCAATGTTATTCAAATCCATTCATACAACCTATAAACACATATATGTATATACTATCAAATTTATGAACTTATTCCCTTCAGTATATTATGAATTGCCACTCAGTTTTCAGGTACCTCAGCGACGAACAGGAAAACCCCGACAGAGAAATATATATATAAATATATATAGAGAGAGAGAGGTGCTTTTCGTAATGGGCTTCCTCTCTTCTTTTATGTATTTTGTTGTTTAAGAGAGCGAGAGAGAGAGAGAGAGAGACATAGGCACATAATTAATTATTAATCCTGTATCAGAATCATTAACCTTAAACACACCGTAGGTTTACAAAAATTGTGAAATGTACTTATCCAAACAAATGCTTTAAAATAAAATAAAAAGTTACACTGTATTTATATAAGATATGTATTATTTTTTCTTTTTTCAGCACTGTCCATATAAAATATGCATTATCCAACTAAATATATATAATTTAAATTTATATGTATATATATTTTGAAAAGTAAAAAAATCACATGAACATGTATAAATACATCACAGTACAATAATCAAAACGATTAAACATTTTTTGAAATTATCATAAAAAAAATGAATATAATTTATTAATCTTTTCATAGGTCTACCACGTGCACATTATTATAGGTGTTACATGGCTAAATCGTCAAGGGGCTAACAATAGAGTAGTACGATAGGAGGAGGTTAGTTCAACAAAGGTTGGAGGTTATTTTTTTTATTATTATTTTTTATTATTATGAATACAAAAGGTTGCAGTTGATAAAGGGATTGGGTCCAAAATTATTAGGGCTAGTGGCCACTCTTTGTATGATAGGCACCTACTATAATTGAAAGAAGGTATAGTGTCGTATCTTTAATGTCATGGTCCACCATCTACCTGTTTCCATCTCAAGCTACGTATTGAATTAATTAATGAACACAACACACTGACACTAGGATGGGTATTGTGTATGTCATTCAATCTTGATGGGATGATTGAACCACTTTTATGTTGTGCTGGTCTTGCTTGTTGATTTCATGATCATCAACAAGAATGTGTTTGCTCAATCCATGTCTTCAGCTGACAACAAGAAGTCATCAAGTTTGAAGTTTTACCCATTTCATGTTTTGGTTAATTTATTAGGAATCCCTCCTAATAAGAATGAAATCATCAAAATAAAGATACAGCCACTTATATGTTCATCTGAGGAGGTACGTTTATTAGCCCAATGCTATGCTTAATTTCAGAATTATTCAAATCGACTTGATTTCCCTATTACTTGTGTAGCATAGATTTTGCTATGGCATGGCCTGCATCCTCAGTTCTGTTTTTCTACTTTCAACAAGCACTCGTCTTAAAAAATAAAATAAAAAATATGGAGTTGCATTATGTGACATCAAAAAGACAGATTGTTTACACCAATATATATCTCCTTATTATGTAAACATGCTTTGAAAATTGTATACACACAAATTTCTCTTAAAAATTCCCCGAAAAAGATGGCATATTGGTTCATAAATATCTAGATAACTGAATACCCTGTATAATTTCACAAAATTTTCTCTGGTATGTACGCGATGTTCTGCACGTGGAAGTTTGCTAGATGAGACTAAATGTGTATGTACAATACTCAAAAGAAAACAACTACAAGTAGATGCCTAGGGAGTAATCATTGTTATTCAAGGCCTGTGGAATATTAACTGTGTATTGCACATTAATCATTATAATTAGAAAGAAAAATTGGAATGATAATGGCATCAAAGATGACTTGGGTTAAAGGTTACTTAAAGGCGCATAGCATCTGAAGCATTTTGAACTACTTTTATTGGCTTAAAGAGCAAGCTTTAGTTCAATTATTTTGTGCTACAACTATAACCAATCAAAAAGATGGCCGAAAATACAAGACATTCCAAACTTTCTTCTCACTGCTGCTAAACGGATTAAATGGAAAATATTTTTAGACAAATTTAAAACATCGCAACCCATTCATCACCATTATATGTAAAACCAAACATGATATATATATATATATATATAAGGGACTGTTCACCTACTCATTGGTGTGAAAAAAATTTATACACGAATTAAATCATTAACGTTGAATATAAAAACATAAATTACATTTTTTACTATCAAATAGAATCTGACGGTTAATACTTCAAGTATACATACATTTTTCTTACACACCAGGAGCAAGCAAGAGAACAATTCTGTACGTGTATATATAATGATTGAGAAATATCTAGGAAAATTCCTTTCTTATCACTAGATTTGGGAGTCCAAAATCATTTGCAAAGTCAGAAGCATCAGCACCTGATCTGCAACCTCCTGTCAAAGAAGATAAAGACAAGTGTACAGAACAGATAAATATTAGTATTAACATATAGTTGCACTTTAAAGTTTGGAGTTACCAGTTTTCCTGTCAAGGTAAAAAAATTCAATAATTTCCTGAATGTCACATCCCTGTGAGAATTTGTAACTTACAAGAACAGAATTCATAGCTTTTTGCCTGTCAAATTTCAAACTAATAAACTTCTTATTCATCTCCAATAAAATGATCTGCTAAAAGAAACTACACGAGATTAAACAAAAAAAAAACTCTAAATATATTATATACATGGTTAAAAAAAAAATTGATCCCTTGATCATTCGCCATACCTTGCTACAGCAAATAGATCTAGGGCCAAAGCAAAATGTTACATCAAGACTCGGACTTTATAAATACATGCAACAGAGATACTTCATTCCATTACATATCCATTCAAGAAAGCGCCATAGGATGACAAGGATACATCCATCTACCACTGATTCGGGAAGGCTTCTCTGTAATTTGCATCCTCTCCTTGGCTCAGCTGTCTCACTGTGCTATCACTTGCACGGGTGTTCAAAAGCCTCTGAGATATTCTATCTTTTGACGTGACTTTCTTTTTCAGCATTGCTGCCAGAGTTTGTTTCTTGTTTCTACTTGAAAACTTCTCCCCATTGGTTTTCTCTGCATCTTCACCTATTGCTGAATATCTCGAAGTTGAAGACATTGCAGCATCCCGCATAACAGATTGATTATGTTCCTTAACTTTGGCAAGCCTTGCTCGCTTCAGTTCCTTTTTATCTGATTCTCTCTTTTGTGCATCCTCTTTATCTCTCTCCCGAACATTCTTGACGGCCTGTTTTGCTAATTGCTCTACTAAATTATCCCCAAAATCAGGGGTCAGCTCCTCCATTGAAGAGTTCTGGTCGATTGGTTTTCCTTCATCATCTCGAGGTATGATGGGTCCATGAAATGGGCAAATTTTCAGGTCTTTTCTTTGACAAAGTCTCCCCTTGCTCAAAGGAGCACGACATGGCTGAATTTCCACTGGCTCTTCTCTGTAAACAGTACTCTGAACATTCAATTCTGCAATCTTCTTTGCTGGGATGACTGCATCATAATCTACCCTACCCCAGTGACCATCAAGCTCCAATCCTCTCTGATTAGCCAAAATATCCCTGTTTGAACCCCAGTGGTCCAAGAAAGAACCCCACTTCATAACCGGAGCTTCAGCCAAAAGCTTACTCCTTGTGGGGTCTGTATCAGTTCCACCATCTTCACAATCCAACTTTTCATTGCCCTTTGTTCCATTATTACTGCATCCAAGACCACCTTTTTTTACCTCATTCGAAGTCGACTCAACGGCATGTTGGTCACTTTGCTTCTTGGTGCTGCCAGAATTCTTGTTCTCAAAGTATTCAATCTCACCCTCTTCCCAAATATCTTCCTCCTCTTGATTTGTAGTGTTAGAAAGAACACAACCTGATTCTTCACATTTTTTCTTCACTGAGCGGAGAAGGTTTCGAATATCGATGAAGTCTTTCAACGTGGAGTCTCTAAACCTGTTGTCTGCCACCTCAACTCTTATGAGAACGGAGATCCAATCTTGAACTGTAACCAAATGCTTCGTCACTAGGAGCTTGTATAGCTCCCTCAATGCATCAAAAACCACTTTATTGTCACTATTCTCTTGAACCTTTTCCGCTTCTCTTAACGTATCAAGACGAATCTGCCGCAGTTCAGAACAACGAAACTCTTCCATTTCTTCATCATCTATCAGGTCAAGTGGCATATTTTTATCTTTAGCACTAACAATTTCCAAGCATTCCCGAATTTCATCTACTGTTGACTGTATTTCATCCTTGATTGAAAAAACATTTGCCTTCAATGTTTCAAACTTGTTCAGTAGAATCTCTTTGGTCCTCATCTCCCTTTCCCTTCTCTCCTGCGCAATCCGAGCCGCATTTTCTTGTAGATTAGGAAATTGGTACCGAAGGGTGTTTTTCAGGTAGTCAAACCCCAACCTGAGCTGTCTATAATGAAGCCCAAATGAAGCATTCCACTTCTCTAAGAACTCAATAGCCTTCGAACGCAGAACAGAAGCAACAGTTGCAGGAGCAGGGAGTGGCAAATTTCTTCTGAATCCAACACTTAAACTCAATAGTTGATCCAAGTTCTCAACAAGGATGGTTCTAAAAAGCTTTGACCGCATAAATAGTTCATCTATTATGAGAAGTGTGAGGAATCGTACCTGCAAAACACATCCCAAATTGTGATGTTATATTCAACTATTTTAAATTTTCTTTCTGCCAAGGAAGGAAAACTCATAACATCATAAAAATCAAAGCTTGAAATTTTACATGTAAAAACTTGAAATGAAAATTGAGATGTTTGAAGCAAAAAATAAAAAAATTGGACGGGTAATTTGTAAATATATAAATATATATATATATATATATATATATATGTTGCTCCAAATCCCTAGTTCAATTCTGTGTTTTCAACTTTTCAAAAGAAGATTCAGAAGTTAAACACAACTCTCTGCTCCAAACCTCTTAAGCCATTTTCTCCTTCCATTTTAATCTCAAATTATCAAATTATTCACTGATATGGAAGCTTGGACCTCACCCACGTTTCTGTGTACTCCATTAACCTCAAATTGTCATCAGAAGACAGCCCACCATCCCTAAAATCACCCCAAACCATTACGCCTTAATGAGATTGCCAGTTTCTATAATGCTAACATGTAGGAATCAATTAGTGCAATTTATTTTTTTATGAATTTTCAGATGACCAACATTATCCTGCGAATTGATGCCAATTCCTGGATGATATAATATTATTGTGTGTAAGCAAAAGATTTCTCAAAACAATTTGACCTAATTGTCGGACAGTCTCAATTGATACAAGGCCAGACTACATATACAAATCTAATTTTCCAACAAAATCCAGTGAATTTATGATCTACCCATTTATATGTAAATTAGATGTTCCAACTTCTCCTGATTAAAGTTCAAATCTTTCGGAGTCTATAAGGGGATTATATTAAAAAATTTGATGGCCTATTGAACCATGCAATATAATAAAACCCCAGTTTTGTTTATAATCTTCTATTGATTGCAGAAAATTTTGGGAAATCCATACAAGAATGATTGAAGAAACAATATGAAACTTTAATATATATATGAATAGAACCTGTGCGTGGTCTCGTTTCATGAACCCCATTAGGGTTTGAGCGGCGACTCGTAGCTCTGCGTCGGAGTGACGGACAACCGATTTGATGGCTTTGAGTAGCCGCGGATCCACCTCCGGAGACGTTGAGTTCGTTGCCTTCTCTATCAACCCCACCACCACCACCTTTCTTTCCCCCTCTTCTCTCTCCTCCTCCATCATCTTCAATCACACTTCCTCAGTTTTAGATCGCTTGAATCTCAGAAGAACCTCCAAACTTTGAATTGCATTTTGTTTCTTATTTTCTCGAGGATTTTCCCGGAAAGTTACAATACCCTGCCTTCTTGTCGAGAGCCGGTCAATGCAATTGGTCTGTGGTATTTATCATTCTTGATTTTACAATAATACCCCCGATTTGACAGAATTCCAAGCTCCACCTCAAGGTTGTTATGGTAAACTAAAAAATAACCCTTATCTTGTTGACTTTGGGGCTTGGGACTTGCATTTGTTTTTGGGCTGAGCTCAGATGGTCACAATTTAAAATAGTTGAGCTCATACTTAATTCGGAGTAATTTTGAAAAGTTTGAACTTGTTATGTATGTATGTATGTATTTTAGTGTGGGGTCCACTTGTAAGAATGACAAAGAAGCTTATTTGATAAGCTGCAAGCTTCTTGTTGCCCACGTCTGTTTATGCCTATAAATAGGCCAATGTGTATACAAGTGAGGCGTGAGAGGTAATGAAATTGCAGCCTGTTATATACATCTCCCTCTCGTTCTCTCTTTATCTGTGAGTGTGTTAAATTTTCTCCCATCAATATTACTCTATATACACACTATACACACACACACACACACACACATGCACACGCATACATATTCATTACACATTATCATTACAAAGGCTCTATCCACTAAGAAGAAAATTATATATTTCTTTCTCACTTCAAAAGGTAAGAAAAATAATTATTTATATTAAACTCTTATTATTCAAGTCTCACATATAATTAACATTGTTGAGCATGCAGTCTCGCAATTATTTATGTTATTTATTTATTTATGTTAGAGTATTTTTGTCTATTCCTTATAGAAAATTAAATTGCTGAGCCCGAAGTCTCGCAAATACTAAATTATTTAATTTGCAAACTCGAAGTTTTGCATATATTAATATATTCTTTGTAAGCCTGAAGTTTCACAAATATTTGATACTCTTTGCAAACTCGAAGTTTCGCAAAATTTGTTGGCCTGAAGTCCAAATGAATCTGAAATTCTTTGACCTAAAGTCATTTACACTGAGTACCCTTACAAACCTGAAGTTTTGTAAAACGTAGAAATATAAATTATATGTGCCTTTTAGTGTAAACATATTTTATCCTTTTGTTATTGTTTTGTGTGCACATGATTAACTTTTGATATTATATATTTACTGACAAATCACATTATAGTGACTGCAGTATTTTTATAATCTCAAATTGTTTATTCTTTTTGTGAAATAATTCTAACTATGTTATTTTATCATTTATAGTTCACAATGTCAAATCTTACCAAGCTTGAATTTGTGGCACTTGACATCTCGGGCAAAAACTACTTGTCATGGACCTTTGATGCCGAGATTCACTTGGAGGCCATGAATCTCGGAGAAACAATTAAGGAAAACAATAATGCGTCCCTGCAGGACCGCGCAAAATCCATGATCTTTCTTCGCCATCACCTCCATGAGGAACTAAAAACAGAGTACCTCACGGTTAAGGATCCACTTACACTGTGGAAAAATCTGAAAGAACGATATGAACATCAGAAAATTGTGATCCTTCCGAAAGCTCGCTATGACTGGATCCACCTGCGATTGCAGGATTTTAAAAGTGTAAGTGAATACAATTTAGCCTTGTTTAAAATTAGCTCATAATTGAAATTATGTGGAGAAAAAATTACTGATGATGATATGTTGGAAAAAACATACTCCAAATTTCATGCCTCAAATGTGCTCCTGCAGCAACAATATAGAGAGAGCAGATTTACCAAATATTCTGAGCTGATTTCTTATTTGTTGGTGGCTGAACAGAATAATGAGCTTTTGATGCAAAACCACTAGTCCCGCCCACTGGATCTATACCATTCCCAGAAGCGAATGTGTCATCATTTCACAGCCATGAACGTGAACGTGAACGCAGACGTCGTGGTGGTCGTGGATATGGTCGCAATAGAGATAATTATAATAATCGTGGTGGTCATAATTCCTCATTGGTTCCCAGAAGGAACTCTATACCGTCCTACCAGAAGTGGAATTCCAATGCGACCAAACAAGCAAAAGAAAAAGTTTTGCAGAACAAAGCTCCTGAGATATACGATGATAAGCCTTGCTATAGATGTGGAATGAAAGGTCATTAGTCGCGTACCTGTCGTACGCCCAAACATCTAGTTGATCTTTACCGTGCCTCAATGAATGATAAGGGAAAAGGAAAAGAAATTGAAATGAATTTTGTGGATGACGACTTAACAACTGATATTACTCACTTTGATGTTTCTAACTTCTTTGCTGATACTAGTGGTAGTAGTGATCATTTGATTGGTGATGGAAATGTCCATACCAATTAATGTGTCCTTTTCTAGCATGTTATCCCTTGTGTGTTTTAGCTTATCTGTATCAATATGTCTCTATCTAGGTTGTACTAGTATGTTTTTATTTTGGCTATCTTGCATGAAAATCTAGTTTGTATTTCAAGTTTGAAGTAATGAAATATATATTTTGTGTGTATGAAGAAATATGGATCTAACTAAGGCATTGACTGTACCCAAGATAAATGGTGAAGATATATGTCTGGCAGGCAGTGCAACAACACACACTATACTCCAAGATAGAAAATATTTTTCAAGTATAACATTAGTTGAAGCTCGTGTCAATACAATATCAGGTCCAGCAGACCTAATTGAAGGCTCCGGAAGAGCTATCATTGTGTTACCATATGGAACACAATTGAATATTGATGATGCTCTATACTCTACAAAATCCAAAAGAAATTTATTAAGTTTTAAAGACATACGTCTCAACGGTTATCATATTGAGACTATAAATGAAGGGGGCGTTGAATATCTGTGTATTACATGCCAGAAGCATGTATTAGAAAAACTCTCTGCTTTATTTTTTGGATTATATTATACAAATATAAGAGTAATTGAGTCACATGCAATGACGCACCAGAAGTGCTCTGACCCAAATATTTTTATACTTTGGCATGATCGCCTTGGTCATCCTGGGTTAACAATGATGCGTCGAATCATTGAAAATTCACATGGTCATCCACTAAAGAACCAGAAGATTCTTTTAGCAAATGATTATCCTTGTACTGCTTGTTCACAGAGTAAATTAATAGTCAGACCATCACCTTCCAAGGTCGTTGTTGAATGCCCACCATTTTTACAACGAATTCAAGGGAATATATGTGGGCCAATTCATCCAGCGTGTGGACCATTTCGGTATTTTATGGTCTTAATTGATGCATCAACACGGTGGTCACACGTAAGTTTACTTTCTACTCGTAATGTTGCATTTGCTCGACTCCTTGCTCAAATAATTCGATTACGAGCACAGTTTCCGGATTATCCAATCAAGACTATTCGTCTTGATAATGCCGGAGAATTCACATCTCAATCATTTGATGACTATTGCATGTCAATTGGCATCCTTATTGAACATCATGTTGCACACACTCACACCCAAAATGGTCTTGCAGAATCTTTTATCAAACGTCTTCAATTAATAGATAGACCATTACTTATGAGAGCTAAACTACCTGTTTCTGCTTGGGGACATGCGATATTACATGCAGCATCACTAGTTCGCATTAGACCAACTGCATATCATAGTTTTTCATCACTACAACTTGTGATGGGTCAACAACCAAGTATCTCTCACTTACGAGTTTTTGGTTGCGCTGTATATGTTCCCATTGCACCCCCACAATGCACCAAAATGGGTCTTCAACGACGACTTGGTATTTATGTATGTTTTGATTCTCTATCTATTATTGGATATCTTGAACTTATGATAGGTGATGTGTTTAAGGCGCGGTTTGCTGACTGTCATTTCAACGAGTCTATTTTCCTTCCATTAGGGGGAGAAAAGAAAAAGTCAGAAGAGCAACGAGTTATTAATTGGAATGTCTCGACTTTATCTCATTTAGATTCTCGCACAAATCAATGTGAACTAGAAGTTCAAAGGATCATTGATTTGTAATATTGCAAATCAATTACCCGATGCATTCACTGACACAAAGAAAGTGATGAAATCACATATACCAGCTGCAAATATTCCAGCAAGAATTGATGTCCCTATAGGACAGTCTGTCAGTGTTGTTGCAAATGCATCTAAGACACGCCAAAAGCATGGTAGACCAATCGGTGCAAAAGATACTGTTCCCCGGAAGAGGAAAGTACAAGAGAAATCAAATAAAGAAATTGGCGCTCCTGGAGAGGTCACACTTGCAAAAGGAATTGGCGCTCCTGAAAAGGTCACACATGCAAAAGGAACAATGATTAATCAATCTAAATTTTATAAGCAAGTAGCCTCAGAAGTGGCACATGCCCCGGAAGTGGCACATGCCCCGGAAGTGGCACAAGCCCCTGAAGAGGCATTGGTATTTGAAAATAATGAGATCTCAATAAACTATAGAGAATTGTGGGATAGGAATACAATTATTATTAACGATATATTCTCCTTTGCAATTGTTCTTGATATTGCAAGTGATAATGAGGATCATGAACCTCAAAACATCGAAGAGTGTTGATGTAGAAATGATTGGCTAAAATGGAAAGAAGCAATACAGGCAGAGCTAAACTCATTAGCAAAACGTGAAGTATTTGGACCTGTAGTCCAGACACCTAAAGATGTCATGCATGTTGGGTACAAATGGGTATTTGTAAGGAAATATAATGAGAAAAATAAAATTGTAAGATACAAAGCCCGACTTGTAGCCCAAGGTTTCTCGCAGAGACCTGGTATTGATTATGAAGAAACATACTCTCCTGTGATGGATGCAATCACATTTCGCTTCTTGATCAATTTGACAGTCTCAGAAGCACTGGATATGCGTTTGATGGACGTGGTTACAGCTTATTTATATGGATCACTAGATAGTGATATATATATATGAAAATCCCCGAAGGATTTAAAATGCCTGAAACAAATAGCTTGAAACCACGTACCATGTATTCAATCAAGTTACAACGATCCTTGTACGGATTGAAACAATCCGGACGCATGTGGTACAATCGACTCAGCGAGTATTTACTAAAAGAAGAATATGTGAATAATCAAGTTTGTCCATGCATTTTCATCAAGAAATCAAGATCTGGATTTGCAATTATAGCTGTATATGTTGATGATCTAAATCTTGTGGGAACTCCTGAAGAGCTCACCACGACTGCTAATTATTTAAAGAAAAAATTCGAAATGAAAGATCTTGGTAGAACAAAATTTTGTCTCAACCTGCAGATCAAACATTTACCAGTGGAATTCTTATCTATCAGTCAACATACATTGAAAAAATCCTAAAACGATTTAATATGGATAAAGTTCACCCCTTGAGTTCTCCAATGATTGTCCGATCACTCGATGTGAAGAAAGATCCTTTTCGTCCTCTGGAAGAAGGTGAAGAAGTTCTTAGTCCTGAAGTACCATATCTTAGTGCAATCGGTGCTTTAATGTACCTTGCGAATTGTACCAGACCTGATATAGCATTTACAGTTAACTTACTAGCACGACATAGTTCTGCACTAACTCGAAGACATTGGAATGGAGTCAAGCACATTATACGTTACCTTCGGGGAACGACTGATATGGGGTTGTTTTATTCAAGAAAATCAAAGCCCTAGTTGATCGAATATGCAGATACAGGTTATCTTTCTGACCCACATACAACCCGATCACAAACAAAATACTTGTTTACTTGCGGTGGTACTGCTATATCATAGCGATTTATGAAACAGACCATGACTGTAACTTCCTCAAATCACTTTGAGATACTCGCAATTCATAAAGCAGGTAGAGAGTGTGTTTGGTTGAGATCTGTTATACAACATATTCGAGAATCACGTGGACTCTCCTCAATCAAAGATAGTCCCACAATATTATATGAAGACAATACAACATATATTGCACTGGTAAGAGGATGATACATAAAAAGTGACAGAACCAAGCACATTTCACCAAAAAAAATTTCCACACATGAGCTCCAGAAGAGCCGTGATATCGATGTTCGGCAGATACGTTCTAGTGATAATCTAGCAAATTTATTCACTAAAGCGCTTCCAACTACAACATTCAAGAAGTTAGTGGACAACATTGGAATGCGTCAACTAACGGATCTTCAGGGTTGAACTAATGAGGGGGAGCAATTGATCAAAGAGGTATTAGCATACTGTACTCTTTTTCCTTCGTCTAAGTTTTATCCCACTGGATTTTCCTGGCAAGGTTTTAATGAGGCAGTTTTAACCTATGTAATACCATTTTCAGATACACAAGGATACTGTACTCTTTTTCCTTCGCTAAAGTTTTGTCCCACTGGATTTTCCTTAGCAAGGTTTTAACGAGGCATATTCTTAGTGTAGTATTGTGGACCCCAAGGGGGAGTGTTATGTATGTATGTATTTTAGTGTGGGGTCCACTTGTAAGAATGACAAAGCAGCTTATTTGATAAGCTGCAAGCTTCTTGTTGCCCACGTCTGTTTATGTCTATAAATAGGCCAATGTGTATACAAGTGAGGCGTGAGAGGTAATGAAATTGCAGCTTGTTATATACACGCTAGGGTTTTGTCCCACTGGGTTTTCCTTAGCAAGGTTTTAACTAGGCATATTCTTAGTGTAGTATTGTGGACCCTAAGGGGGAGTGTTATGTATATATATATTTTAGTGTGGGGTCCACTTGTAAGAATGACAAAGAAGCTTATTTGATAAGCTACAAGCTTCTTGTTGCCCACGTCTATTTATGCCTGTAAATAGGCCAGTGTGTATACAAGTGAGGCGTGAGAGATAATGAAATTGCAGCCTGTTATATACATCTCTCTCTCGTTCTCTCTTTATCTCTGTGTGTGTGTGTGTGTTAAATTTTCTCCCATCAATATTACTCTATATATACACGCATACATATTCATTACAGAACTTTATTTGTTACTATAAATGGGTGAACCCATTCGCACGAACGATCGTGTATTAGGAATTTATATTTAAAATCGCTTGAACGTAATATTTTTACTAACAAATTGTAGATATGTGTAAATTATTATATTTAATTTTATATTTCATACGAAGATATGGCAAATTAAAAATGAAGGTAAGTCCTTGAGATCTTGTTTTTAAAAGGCACTCCTGACTTAAATAATACTTGTATTAT